ATACTTCTGACCGAAGACCAGCTGACACTCACCGAGAGCCTTGGGGAAGGTAGTATTACATGAAATTATAGTTCATATGTACACGTCTATTATTTAGTGTACGCGTAGTTTTTTGGCATCATGCACTTGTGTGCAGTGTACCATGTAAGCATCGCTCTTGCATTTGAAAGAAGGAGTTTAGATGCTTGTTGCAGCCCACACACATTAGAATATGGAAGTTCTGCTCTAGCTGTGTACGTGTTGTGTTGTGTGTGTTGTTTGTTGCCAAGAGCTATTATTACGGTGATCCCATGACATGTAGAAATCAACACGCAGCCTATTGTATGTCGCTGGAAATGGTATGCCAGTACCAAAGTAATTGTAGGCTGGCAACACAGCCTATATATGCAGGAATAACCAGGTGTACTAAGCAACTGCCTCAAATCCCAAAGAAACGAGCAAACAACTACCGTAAATAGCGTTGGGTACTTACTGGGTCTAATAGCTGTCGTAATAAGTATAGTTGCTGCAGCCATGTCTGTGGTGTCTGTGTGTCCTCACAGGGGCATTTGGTCGGGTGTACAAGGGTTCCATGAGATGCGGTGACGATGCACCCATCGAAGTGGCCGTCAAGACATTAAAAGGTGTGATTATCGCAAATCATCGTTAGCAAGACATTGTGGGTGTGTTTATGTCTGACTAATAACAGTACACAGCTACATAGCCAAATTATTTGTTGATGCATTCCTTAGTTATATGCCTGATTTGCAATGCCTTGCGGAACCTTTTTGGTCCATCTGTTGACTCTGAGACTGTGGACACACCGGCTGTCCATGAGTTTGAAACACCCATTAGCCTATTACCTGCTCCATTGGTACGTGGTACATACATAGCCCCCACACAGATGCTCTAAAAGAGGGCAGCTCAAAGAATTGCTGGAATACCAGGCATTTTAGCGACATTTCTGAGCATTAGTTGGAATCTATCAGTGTATATATTCATGTCAGTGAGTGGAAATCTTTATTGAGTCATGTAATTACTAACCCTGCTCATTTTTTCTTGTACCCCCTTACATTACATAAGGTTGTGTAGGTGTAAATCTACCTCCTTGCATTACACAAGATTGTGTAACCCTGCTCATTTTTATTGCGTACGACAGACATATCCCAACCGGAGAACATTGACAACTTTGTAAAGGAGTCCATCTTGATGCTGGGGTTTGACCACCCCAACGTTCTGAAGCTCCTCGGGGTGTGTTTCGACACGTGCGATCACCTGCCTCTCATTGTCCTCCCGTTCATGGCCAACGGTGATCTCCGCTCCTACCTCATGTCCAAGAGAGATCCATCCGTCTCCATTAGAATAACCCACTTCCCAGAGGTATATAGTATACACTAACCCCCAGGGCCATCCCTTGTTGAACATTCTGTTATAGCCCACATTTTGCAATGCTGTTTGTTTTCATGTGTGCATCGGTCGCAAACTATTGAAGCCCCGTGAATGAAAGTCGGTAGTACTCTCAAGTGCAGTATAACTAATACTTGTCCACAAATTTGCAAACACAATTCAACCTATTATGATAGTCTGGGACTACTAGACTGTGTCATTTGTGTTTTGTCTATTAGGTGTATTTGTAATGTATATGCAAAGATTATGCGTGTTTTATCACACTCATGAGTGGGGTCTGCATTCATACGGTCTGTACTTCAACTCCCACAATAATTGTTGTGGTACCCCCAATTAGTGTACAATTAGGCGCAACATAGTTTCCTACTATGCGATGCTGCAGGGTCTAGACGAGCAGAGGGCGCTGGGGACGTGTCTCGACGTGGCCAAAGGAATGGAATATCTGTCAAACTCTAGTTTCGTTCACAGGGACTTGGCAGCAAGAAACTGCATGTGAGACATCTATAGCTAGAACCTCACACACAGGTTTTTAAAGGGAAATATGTGATTTAGTGGCCCCGGAATGTAGCTACCTGAGCACACTACTAAGGGCTCTGAATCACGTATTTCCCTTGACTCACAATAATAACTCGACTTAGATGGTCCTATCATGTTACAATAAGCATCTTTAATTTCTCTTAGCGCGCTGGTGTCATTTAATGGGCATACCTCCTTTTTGTTTGCCAGGGTAACAACAGTCCCCTTATTCACATGATCACCTCCCACCATAATATTATGGCAACGATACATGTGTCACACGCAGGGTGAGTGGGGAACTAACAGTGCACATTGCAGACTTTGGACTCTCTCGAGATGTGTACAGTAAAGACTACTACCGCATGGGGACCAAAACCATGCTCCCTGTCAAGTGGATGGCTCCAGAGAGTCTCGCTGATAATATATTCACCATGAAATCAGACGTGGTACATTGTTAGTGTTGTGGGAAGATGGGCCATGAATTATGTTCCATCCATTAACTACTACACACACTTGAACGAGTTATGCAACAATATACGGGCAAAACCATTGCACAGTTGGACTTATATTATCATGGGCATTGTAGTTATTCCCACACCTGCAATTTAAATGCACCTGTGAGATTGGGTCACGAATTCCCACATAATTGTTGTTTCTGGCAATTTGATGGAATGTAGCTTCCCCAAATAACCTATAGTTACCTGGTGTATTGGTACAGCACAAACATAACAATACAGGGTCTTATTAACCTTCTCCCTTTCTCCTTCCTCTCTCCCTATATAATACAACCAGTGGTCATTTGGAGTGGTGTGTTGGGAGGTGTTCTCTCTTGGCTCCACCCCCTACCCTGGAGTAGGCAATCACGAGGTCTCTGACTACATTGGAGGCGGCCGCAGACTCAAGATACCCAAACTCTGCCCTCCAGAAATGTGAGAGGCGTAGGATTAACAATCTAGCCAGTACCAAATGCGTCAAAACTTGGCATACCTTCCATTCGGTATGGATACATGATAGGGCTCCACGCTGCTAGCTACCTCATGAAAGTATGAGAAGTTGTGGTGTTCCATTTAGGCCCATTGGTGAGTTACTTCTCAAAAGAGACCGCACATCACAGGAACCTTCTCAGGAAATGGCTAATAGCTCTTGAACCCTAGATAAACTTCTGCAGAATTTATTTACAGTACTTTGAAAACATTCACAGGCATGTATAAACAATGCACACATCCTAGCCGCATGTTACTAAAACATGGCAGGATACACCCACATTCCATAAGGTAGAGACATAACAGGATATATATCACTTATGAATAGAGCCAGCATACAATTGCCTTGTTTGAAGTATACTGAAACGAATGCAACGCACCAGTGGTGTGCAAACATGAGGGTGAAATTTCAGTGGTTTTATATGTACATAATAATTATGTACACTTATGTATAGCCTCGTGGAGTAAGAGGATATCCCTGCAATTTGTCAGATACCACATGATGGAGCAGTGCTGGAGTGAGGATTCAAACCGACGACCAGATTTTTCAGACCTGGTTTTACAGCTGGAAAAGGTGTCCTCCAGTAGCAGCAAGAATCAGGATCCCCACTACATCAACATGAACAATGGTACCACCTCACAGAACGGACATGCCATCCAACCTCAGTGACGTCGACGTCATTGCATATCTCTCTTTATTACTAGTGGGCATTGACGTTTGTGTGTGTGTATAGCATGTATGTAAGTGTATGTTTGCGTGTAAAAAAATACGTATGTGTACCTAGCTTGACAGTAGGCTTGACATGATGACTGAATGTGTGATTTGCATTATAAATTTGCTCCAATCCACTTAGGACGCTCAACGCAAGGCAAGCTGATAATAAGTGAGACACAATCACAATATGTGGGAGCGGCTCACATTATTGTAGTAACCAAGTGCTTGGCATTCTTGGTGATTAATGTCCATTTGCGGCCCTGCCAGCCTCTCGTGTGTAGTTATTCCCAAAAGTTCACTTCAGTCTTGGACTGACTCTGACTACACTTGTGTACGAATCACACTATCATTACAGGATCAGGTCTCACAGACAGCCTTCTGTTGTATGGGGTATAGATAGAACTGTTGGTAATGAATCTTCCCCTTTTGAGGGTGGGGTCAGAATACAATAATTATTATGTGCTACGGTATCAACTGGCCATCGTTAATCATATATAGTTATCCAACCAATTTTGTCTTGTGATCAAAAACCCCCCTGCTATATATATAAGTACAGCATGATACTACCGATTGAAGGACTTTAAAGGGCAGGGCTTGTTACGCCGCCTACAGCAGCAGCACAATCCAGCCCCACCTACTCTTTTCTACCAGCTCGAACGCGCACTCCTCCTTCCTACAAAAAGTGCTGCATATGGAAACTGCATGTTTATTTTATTATAATGCAACAAACAAAATAATGCTTCTCAGAAGAATGTTAAATGAGGCAGCTTTTTGGTTCCTGAGCAGTGATGAAGAGCTCCTTACAATTTGTATTTCTGTTGGCAGCAGGCTGTGGCCTAACTAACTCAGCAGTAGAGCCGTTCAACAACCCCAGACCACTAACCGCTCCAACCTCTGAGCCAAGTGATGCTGCAAATAGTTCTTTCTGTGGACTCTGGTCCAAGGCTGGAGGAGAGTGTGGCGACAGCCTGGGAGGAGTAGTGACCTGCTACAGAGGACAGGTTCTCATCCACTCCTGCTACTGCATGACGTACGACAAGAGTGGCAGGGGACCGTTTGTTGGCAAGTGTTTCTTCAGTGGTAGCAGTCCAGAGAGACTAGCAGAAGGTACTTCCAGTTTGATTGCGATTCCTTGTACCGCGTCTCGAGAGAACCTGACATACACGTTTTGCAACTACTGGGGTAGAGACGGTCTGCTGTGTGGGGACTGCAAAAACGGGTACGCTCCACAGGTCTACTCGTTTGATATGGCGTGCATGCCATGTAACCCCAATGACCTGTACGTCAACTTGATAAAGTTTGTGAGTGCAGCATTGTTGCCCACCACGGCGTTTCTCCTGCTCATACTCCTGCTCAGAATCAAGATCACCAACGGGACACTGAACTGGTTCATCTTTTTCAGCCAGGTGGTATCATTCCCATTCGCAGTGAGAAGTGTACTGGCTTTTACGCAAACCTCTAAACTTCCAAGAGTTTTTCACACTTATGCAAAAATCTGTTTCTCTTTTTACGGGATATGGAACCTGGATTTTGTCCGGCCTTTTATGCCAGGAATTTGTTTTAGTTCTCTGAACACTCGACAGGCTATTGCGTTGGATGGAGTTATTGCCGTGTATCCACTAATTTTTCTCGTCGTGCTTTACATCCTGATATACTTATATGATCGCAACTACAAGATTATTGTTTTCCTCTGGAGGCCATTCCGTGTGTGTTTCACCAGATGTCGGCAGATTTGGGACATACAGAATTCGGTGGTCGACACTTTTGCGGCGTTTGTCATTCTCTCCTATAGCAAGACCTTGAATTTTGTGTTTGATGTGGGTTTCCCCGCTAAAATATATGAACCATCCGGGGAACAATTTGCAGAGACGGTGTACTATAACGACGCATCCATCAGCCTAAGCGACAAGAAGCATCTCCCGTATCTAGTTCTCACAGGTATACTGTTCTTGGGTTTCAACATTCTCCCAGTGCTACTCCTTTGCTTCTATCCCACAAGATGTGGCCGGAGCATTCTAAGACGTGCCGTGAGCAGCGGAACTTTGCAAATTTTCAGTGACACTTTTCAAGGTTACTACAAGGACGGAACGGATGGAACGCGAGATCTTAGATTTTTCCCTGCAGTGTATTTGTTGGCACGAATTTTTCTCATCACCATCTACTCCTTACTACTCACTAGCTATGCATTTTTCATGATCCCAGTATTCTTGGTGGGAGTCGCGATGACAGTGGTGCTACTTCAACCATACAAGCCTCAATTTTCGAGGTACAACCGTATCGACGCGGCCAGCATTCTGCTTCTGGCTATGCTCATCTTAACTGCTAACTCCATGCTCACAGAGCCTGAAATAGAAGGCTTTGGATACTATAGCATCGTATCAGCCGTTTCAGTTGTGGTTATGTCTCTCCTGCCACCACTCTATGTGGCTTTTCTGCTGGTGCAGTGGATCACTCGGCGAATAAAGAGTGTTCCTGGCACATATCAAGCCTTGATCAACCAGAGTGAGTAAAAGGCTTGGAACTTGGACAATTATCTTGCATTGTAGAGATAAGCAATACTTATTGTATCACACTCAAATTTGAACTAAAAAAAGTTTGAATCCATATATAACACTTGGCGATCAGAATAACTATGGGAAAGGGGGATTGCTATACACATGCAGGGGCAAACCCACAATTTCGTAACTCGGTTGTTGTGGACAAGATTACATGACATTACACGTATTTCCATACCCCGCAAGACTTTGCTTCTTTGTGTAGCCAAATATAGGGTTTGCCCAGACCTTCTGCTACGTACATCAATGACACGAACGCTCGAAACTGAAGCAGCTCCTCTATCAAGCTTCCCACTACGTTGTTTTCCTGTACACATATATCCAAACAGAAAATTACATGCTATATTGGATATTCCAGAGTCCTTAATGTGCACACAGAATATACATTGTATTTTACCACCAACGCACAGAGTATATATCTCAAAGATGGCACAGTTATAGGAGGCATGCTAGCCCCTCCTCAAGGAATCTCTTGTAAATGCTCATGAACTTGGCAATAAAGGCCTCGATGTGGAAGATTGGTTTACTGCCCAGCTGGAGCCGGTGCTCGTAGTAAGCCGCCATCTGAGTTACCTCGGCCTTTAGCTCTCCGTCACAGTTGACCACCAGCTCTGACAGCAACCCCTGACACATGTCATGGACAGACACAGTTAACTCTTTAATAAGACAATGAACTACAGTGAAACCTCCGAAAAGGACACTCATAATAAAGAAACCTCTCTGTTAGGGACACTTCGTTCTGCCCCATACTAATACATTAGTGTATTATACTATACCTCCAAATATTTAATGCCCCCAAGGCGTCCCTTATGCAGTATATACCTTCATGATGATAACAGGAGGAATGCAGTGAGTTATCAGTTCATAGATCCTAGAACGTACTTCCAATAGCCTGGAGCAATGGAAGAATCACACACACACAAACTACCAACCAGTGCTTCAATCTCACGGTAGCTACACATAGATCTCTGTATATACAGTACCTGAACTACAGTAGAATAAAGACGAAAAGACAAGAAAGAAATTTTAAGGAACACACAGAGATGGAAACACATAAACACACTACATGGTATATAACTGATTTGGTTAAAAATCATAATACGAAGTTTCTTTTAATCCAGTCAGCCTCAATAGCTTAATTTTTCTACAGCCAGATTTTTTCACTGGTCAAAACTCTGTATATAGGTAGGGCTGTAAATAGCAGACCTCTGAGGTGACTGCTGTTCCACGATCATGGCGGCAGTCTCTCTCAGGAACACCTCCCAGTCACAGTCGGGGATGGCCTGGTCCTCTGAGAACGGATACCTGCACGCCAACCACACATGTACACCAAACAGCTCATGCATTCACATGAAGAATGAAAGAGAATTATGAAGAGAAGGGGAGGTATGTTAAACCAAGCACAGTCTATACTGTACCATAGAGCAGGAAACTTTAGACAGCGATATTTTTTTCTGCCAAAATGAATATTTTTGTCACCAGGGACCAGTCTACAAAAATTTTCTCCGCAAATTTGCTATCAAAGTTTAAAGGTTTTCTCCTTCAAAAGTTTCTTGCTATACACTATGTGTCCAAGGTTCAATCGGGTATCAGTAATGACAGGGACTTACTGCTGGACTCTGCATGCTTCACACAGCAGTAGAGCACGTCTGGTGTTTCGCGAAGACTTTTCGGCGATTCTCCTGGCGAACTCGGGAGGAAGACTCAGTCCCTCCTCTTGCACGTCTGCTGCAACACCGCACACAACTGCCAATACAGAATCAAAACACACCGTAACGTGATTCAAGTATGGGGAAGACCAGCTACTGTCTAGGAGTTGTATATACATAGATACTGAGCTACTGGTCGAACGCCTGGGTTCGACTCCTGACAGACATTGGTTTTCTCTTTTCTCTTATACTGTATGTAGGTCTGAGTAAACATCTAGGAGATTCTGTTGTGATGGGTGGTATGTGTATATAGATTGAGGGATTACTTGGTCATTGGTGGGAGCGGCGACTCGCAGGCCCAAGCAGCGACTCTTGATGGCAGGAATGACTTTACTGGTAGAGTTGCAGCAGAGAATCAGTCTGCATGTTGCCATGTACTTCTCCATGGTCCTGCGCAGGGCGTGCTGTGCACCCTTTGTCAGCTGGTCCACCTCAGTCAGTACCACCACTACACAGAAGGAAGAAAGGGGAGAAGAAAGGGAAAGAGAAGCGAGATTAACCAGCCACGGACACATAAAATTATGCATCCAGAACACCTAAGTCCATAGGAATTTATAGGATAGCCATACATACCGCCACATTCCCTTTGATGTTAAGCTAGATAACCAAGGGTTAAAGGGAAAATGAGCATGTGTGTGCCTGCCGTGTGTGTATGTGTGTGTGTGTGCGCGCGCGCAGAGGCCCTGCCTTTGAAATCTTTCTGCACAGACTCCAGACTCTGACTCTGAGCCGTTTCCTTCAGAAGCTCTTGTATCACCACTCGATCATGGATCCCTGCATCACTGTACATGTACGTACACCAGAACTGAATGTGTATCACTACATTGATGTTGTATACAACTCACCTTGGGTTCAGCTCAATGTGATAGTTACTAGAAATCGAAGATATCTCCACCTTCTTTTTAGAGGGCGTCTAAAAGTGCAAAGAGACAACCTTTCACCTTGAGTTCTAATGCCTTTGACAAACTGTTACAGTAAAAGTCATGTGATCAATGCGCAGCTTCTCTGCTCCACTGCCGTATAGCTCTCTGAGGAGACACATGATTCGAGTCTTCTTCCCTGCTCCCGAGGGCCCGTACACCAGGAGATGGGGGAAGTCATTACTCTGGACCTGAAGTAGGGAAGATGGAGGACATTTTTGTGTACTGCATGCCGTGTGTGGCATTGCACCAGCTTCTTGAGTCTGCTGGCTTGTTCCTTATGGTAGTCCAAACTGCTGAAAGACCTGGGCCTGTATTTGTCCACCCATAAACTCATGGTGACTTCTCTTAGCTAACAGCTCCCATTTGTTTTAGCGCGGTGGGCTCATCGACTGCATCACGTGCTCCGGGAGTGTGATCACGTGATACACGTCAGAGATCGACCCAGCCTGACGACGGCGGACGTTCAAGTGAAAAAGCAAGACGTAAGGATGTCAGACACGGAAGACAAGCCTCTCTTGGTACGCTCATTGACTCGTGTTACCATCTCACCTCCGTACACAGCTGAGACTTGTTACCAAATGTCCCGCTGAATAGGGCAGAGCCCGGCGAGAACATGTTTCATGTGTTTACTAGTGTTGTTGCTGTTCTCACTCTCCCCCACCTTAGGCCGAGACTGCGGTCCCGGAGACTGACGATGTACCCCTCCACCCGCCCCCTCCGTACGTACCTGTCGCCGCTGAAGGTATATAGGCCTATATCCACAGCTATGAAACGTACACGGAGCATCTCTCTCCCTCCCTCTCCTCTTCCCTCTGTCACTCCCACTCCAGTTACAGAGAGACCAGTAGCTGCGGCCTCAGTGACAGATCAACCACCGCCGCCTCCTGTCAAGTACTCTAGGTCCATGCCCCTCCCGACCTACGCCCAGAGCGAGAAATACGAAACAGAAGGAGTGTTGGATTTCCACCTCAAGGAGACTGAAGGTGATGAAACTGACGAAGAGACGCCTCCTTATAGCCCCGGCACTGGCGGGACCTGGTGCGAGTTCATGCTCTTCTTTGCCAGTAAGTGCTGCAACGTATATACATACATTGGTGTGCATCACATGATCTAATACCTTTATGTTAGTATGGGGCGGAGCCTATTGGTGTCCTTATAGAGGTGTGCTTTATTCCAAGGGTCCTCTTTCAGAGGCTTAGTAGTGTACTACCGTTGTCTATGGAAGTGGGCTCCAAACTCCACGAGGAAAAAATAGGGAGAGCGGAAGAAAGGGAAATCTGAAATTAAAGCCAGTCTATTAGGCCTACTGCTAGTTTCGGAGTGGCATAAGAGTGCTGGATTTCCATTCTCAATCATTGTGTGTGCATCTAATGTGCCTCCCTCTCTCCTGTTCAGTTTGCTCCATGCTGAGTCTGGTGGGGTTTGTGTTCTCTATTTGTGTGGCCACCACTGTCGCGGCCAAGGGGGGAGCTGTTGCCGGCCTCGGCATTGCACTCGTCAGCAAACCAATCATGTTTGAGGTACATACACACAAACTAACTCCCCTCTTATCTTTCATACACTCTTTCACATGGTACACTAATGCATAATGTACTGTTATGTAACTGTTAGGCAAACGGAGCTTTTTTCACGGATGACATAATGTTATGTAACTGTCAGGCAAACTAGACTTTTCTCGCAGATGTATGACGACAGTTTTGTGAGAAATCTCTGTGCCAGTGACGTTTCAGAAGACTGCTTCAATCGATTTTACACAATTGTCCGCTTCTGCGTCTGGCTCATTGGGCTGTTTGGTAGGCACTACTATGTATATAGCTGTTTTTTGTTGGGGCAAATATTCACCTCAAATTCGCAGAATATATTTACCGCATGAATTGGATTTACTCGGTACAAACCGGTGCATGTTTGTGGGAAAATGAATATTACCTTCACATGTGCCTATAGTAGAGAGTAGCTAGTGGGTACGTCAATATTCTCTGTGGTTGCCATATTATATAGATGCCTGAAGGAAGTACACATAATGTGTATATAGTAGTGGGGCACATGTGGGCATGGTAGGAATGAATCCTTTGTCTGGTGTAAACAGACCCTCGATCGAATTTCTGTTGTGCCAATGGAATGTTTCCTGACATAAGCTCTCCCAACAGTATATAGCACAGTACAGTAAACCATCCTTAGTTATGTAGGTTGTGTCCTACACTAGACTTGCGACGTTGAAGGTGTCCTCTACTCAAAAGAGTTGTCCCATGTTTTGTATGGGACAACTCTTGATAGTACATTAAAGTACTGTCAAAAGGATCCTTAGTTATGTAGGTTGTGTCCTACACTAGACTTGGGACGTTGTAGCTATTCACTCCACATCTCCTATATAACCCCCCACCCCTCTCCCTCTCTAGGGTTGGTACTGTTCTACAGAGGCACAGCGGCTTTCCTGAGGGCCAGACAAGGCACTCGCTGACACATCCAGGGACCCCACTGACAATTCCATACATTTTCCTTTTAGAATAATTCCACATCACCTGTGTCTAATGTAGTGCATAGAAGGAGAATGCTATGCTATGTGATTTTTCACCTGCGATTTGTATAATATGTGTTCATTGTATATATTTAAATTGCAATGTACACGCTTAAAATATGGCTTTAAATATTCTACATAATTTCCCAGTCAGACAGTTACTCTCACCACACTTCTGTTTGCAGGAGGTACTATAATTATATGCACATTCATAATTACCCTCGGCGCGCATGCGCAGCGAGGGTACAGTAGTTGGGGGTCTGTCTGTCCGTACCGTCTGTTTGTCTGTTTGTCTGTTAGTCTACATCTCACTCCTCGAACGTCTGTTCGTCCCAGAAACGATACCCTCTACCCAACGGGTGACGAAGGTCAGAAAATAAAGACGGTTTTCTCTGAAAATGCTCCGTTGCAAAGCTAGAGCACGAAAAAGCCAATATGCAAATACATAATTATACGCAACGGACGGGATGGGTCTGATCGATCAGCGTGCTCTGCGACCTCGGAGGCACCAGAAGATGCAACGCAGGGCGTGTATCGCCTCTCGCATGCTGTCTAGTAGTGTAGTTAGCCCGCGTCAGACTCTGCGCGAGATGGCTAGAGACCAGGAGTAACAGCCAGAACTAAACCCGGCCCATCAATTAGTGATACAGCGCATGCGTTTACTCACGCGTGCGCGTCACAATGCGCCGAGGGTTTGCACTTCAGTGCTTTTCATTATAATTATAAATGAAATTCCGCGCCGTTCAGACTGCTAGGTTGGCTCGCTCCAGCTCTCCAATAAGCAGGTGGGTGGTCAAAGTTGTCATTATTATTTTCTACCTAACTAAATCAATAAATACGTCGTGTGCAGAATTAAAATTGTATATGTTCTTTTTCCTCAGAGCTCGAAGTTGTGCCCTCCAGGATCGTCCGGCTGGAGGGTCTAGTACGGTGGATGTTGAGCACAATTTTTCAACCAAAAACGACAGCCAAACAGAATTTGTCTGTAGGTGTGGCTTCTCCCACTCACCACTATGGGGGGGGGGGGGGGGGTAGGAACATGTTTATGTTGACAAACAAGAGGTGCCCTGGGTGGGAGTTTCCACTGCAGGCAGTGTGTATATAATTATGCATATTTTGGATAAGCTCAGCCTGTGGGCTCCTTGACCTCAAGGCGTAACGCTGTAGAAAAGCTTAGTGGTCACAGTGATTTATGCATTAAATTATTATGTAAAGTGATACAACACATGCGCGTACTTCTGCGTGCGTGCGCGCACGTTTCATGCCTGGAGCATGCGCAAGATATTCTAATCCCGTATATACCAAGCGTATTGTTGAGCTAAACATGGCAGATACACAGCGAAAGATGTGCCTCACTTGGTAGCATGCTTACCCTGTCTGCAGCCTTTCACAGAAGACTGTGTATATAGGTTTGCTTTAACATGGAACCTTTCTCTAGCGAGCACGCCCGTCTTTGCCAAGGGCTTGCACTTTGGTGCTTTTCATTAAATCATAAGCACTAAAAAAACACTGAATTGCAAACCCTTGGCACTAGGAACACACTTGTATAGTATTGGCGTGCACAATACACATGTGTCAACTACGAGGTACAAAGGCAAAGGCAAAACAAACAAGTCAACTACAACCAGGACTACACACCAGGGCAGCTCTCTTTTTTCACTTGGAGGCCCCAGGTGCACCTAAAGCACCGTAATTTGATGGGCTGTGCCGTCTATCCTGTCGTTTGCACCACTCTAACAAGGCAAGCTGCATCAGTGAGTGTGAGGAATCTCAGAATGGCCATAGGTGGACGAAGAATGCATCAAATTGGATGTCTCCTTGCCCGTCAAAGAGCCAGGGAAGTCTCTCCAAATTATTGAATAATATGCAGTCACCTGCATTAATGCAAACTATGTTACATCACATGCACATGCGCAGTACACAATGCACCTTTCTTCACCCGAGAGAGAGTGAAATCCACAATGGTCACCTTCACTCCATGTGTGTGGATAAGAAATTTTTTATTATCTATTCTCTATTCCAATGTCGACTTTGCTTGTCTTTTTTAGTATAATATTGGACTCGTGTAGATCCCGATGTTCCAGCTCTAATGCCTGAAGTGGAGAAAGGACACTGTTTTGAAGTCGGGTGGCAGTTTTCTATTGGCTAACTAACAGTCTCTCCCACAGCCAGAGCTCCAGCCACCTGCCCTAAGACACTAATGGCCTCCTCCACCGATGAGAACTGAGAGAGGGGGGAGGAAGAGAAAGGAGATGGAGGGGAAGGGGGAACAGTTATGGCAGTACTTGATAGTGTTCTAATGTGGAGCCAGCATTCTCTGTGGTGATGATGGCGTACATCTGGTCATCTGGGAATATATCTGATGAAACAAACACGCAACAAAGAGGGAATGAGAGAAGTTAGTCATTCACTCCTCCAAACGGTTCAATTAACTAATATTCAGTTTAGCACACACATACCAGGTCTTTCATTTTCTGTTGTGTGCTGCTTCGTATATCTGTCCCAGCACTTAAGTAAAAGGCTGGGTACCTACCCTGGGCCACTGTCAACCTGTGAACAGCATAATTATATAGCAGGCATCCCATTGTATCAAGGGTTAACATACTGATGTACTTGGAGATAGTTCTCGTGTAGTTGGGCCCTTGGTCTTGCCCCAGTAAACTCAGCTCTCTGTAAAGATGACATAAAGTGGTTGTGAAGGAAAATGAAGCCTACTCGCTTACTTCAAAATGACCATCTCAGTCATACATCAGTGTAACTGGTCTCATGATGTCCTTCAATGGGAATAATCTGAGGAAATAGACTGGGTGATTTATCAGAAACAATGCACCATTGCTTACCTTCATCACCAGCTGGGTCCCTGTGTCATCTAGAGTACCTGAATACCTCTGAGAAGGTACCCTCCCCAACCTTCTGGATGCCCTCGACCATTCTGTTCATTACCAAAACAGAACAGACTTCTGTCTCACAGTACTGTTTAGTACAGTTTGTTACCGTTCGGAGAAAACAGTCGCCAGAGAACGAGGCTCTGTTTGCTCACATAGAGCTAGAACTCTCTGTTGTGGGCTGAGCTGGGGGGTGGGGGCAGGGGAGAGGTAGGTCTAGAGGAGAGAAGTCAACATTTTCACATTTCGTTGGTACCATGCATGCAGCTATAATACCAGTAGAGGGCTGGAGATTGGAGGAAGACTAGTGGGTGTCGTGGGGAAGAGAGGAGGGAGAGTGTGTCTGTGGGGACAAGATTCAGATGAAACAGCTCTACTACACTGCCACCTATCAGAGAGTTTTATACAGGTAGAGGCAAACAGGAATATGGTCTTTCCTGCAATCTTTTCAATCACTGGCCGTGCAACTACACTCACCTCTTATGCTGGCTCCTCTCAAGTGACCGGCTCCTAAGTCGCATGACTTTTCTAAGAGCAGGGCTGACGTCTTTCGCACTTTGTTGATGTCTGAGCAGGTAAACAAATCTAAATATGCCCTGAGTGTTGCATAAAGCCTTTCTATGATGAAGTATAGGATATGTACTGTTATCAATACACTAAGGTAAGGAATCCTAGGCCTACTAAACATTAAAAAAGGTCATCACTCACTGATCACTGGTCTCAGCCAGAGAAACTTCACTTGTCTCTGGTGTAGCTAGTATAGCAAGTCCCATGGACAGAGAAAAAAGCAAAGGAGGTGAGTTAATTTATGGATAAATGGCTGCTACCTTTTCTCACCTGTTGGGTTTGAGTCCTCAACATTTGTTGATCTGAAATGAAAAATAAGAATGATTCCAACCATGTCTATAATGCTGAAACAAGACAGACATGATACTGCTTTACTCACGTTTCTCCCAAATTACAACATTGAATGCTCTCTGTTAGAGCATCCATGCTGAAACGAAAAACAACTCTATAAACGCTACGCACACCAGTGCATGTGATTAACTCACGATAGGGACTCTATCGTTTTCTTTGATCTTGTTTTCTACAGTCAGAGGAGACGCAAAGGGATGAACAGTGCTACTGCCACTGTTTAATACAGCTCACTTTTCTAGGGCGGCCAATTGTTTTTTTTTTCAGCACCTGTCTTTTTTTCTCGTAATTTTTTTCTCGCCGCCCTATCCTTTTCTGGGGACGGCCCATGATGCTGCAAAGGGAATAGAAACAAGACAACCACTGAATGCTATTTTGTAAACTGTTTCCTAAGGCACAATGCAATTTATTTGCACGGTTTCTATTATACAAAGTTGCATGCACATGAAACAGAATGCATTTTTCTATTGCATGCTGCATGGACCCATACAATTAAGAGCTGTGTTGAACGTCCAAAAAACTACTGTAATATGAAAAGCACTTACTCTTTTGAATAGGAATAAGAGTAAAATCACCATTCCAAGATAAAGTTCTAAGCTAAAGGACTGGTTGATGACGAATCTCATTTAAAAGAAAGGTGATGTGGTTCCAGGCCGCGTTCGCTGGGGGTGAGTCTTGCGTGTGAGGGCTGGGTTTACGGACCGGGTTGTTGTGTCCGCGCGGCTGTATGGTGCGACCGTTGCGGGGCGTGTGCTCGCCGAGGGGGCTCTGGGGGTTGTTGGCGGGCTCGGGGAGCTCCCGGGGTTGTGGCCCGGGGGGGCGGTGACCCGCTGGGTGACGCGGGGGGGCGGGCGGGGGGGACGGGGGGGGTGGATGGGCGGGGGGGGGGTGGAGGTGGCGGTGGGGGGGACGATTGTGGTCCAGCACGAGCCCTCTTTAAACTGTACTGTTGGTAGGTGACAGGGATCGATTGTCAGTCTATTAGCTCATTAAGACAATAGGACAATGGGGGTAATTTTAGAGGCTTCAAAATCAAGATAATAGGCCTAATCAGCAATATTGTTACAGTATGACTATAGGCCTATTGTCTTGAGTTGTAATAATCCAACATTTTCAGAGTCTTCTACCCTACATGCTGAAGGTTATGTAAGATACTGTCAGTATAGATGACACGGGATTATTTAGCATGTGAGATCTATACTATATTTGTTGATCTGAAATGAAAATTCCAACCATGTCTATAATGCTGAACCAAAACGGTGAAACAAGACAGAGATGATACTGCTTTAACTACTCACTTTTCCCCCAACTGTATATTCACTGGACGGACCTCTGCCTTCTTCAATATCTGCAATAGTGAAAATACACCACACACATTAATAACATCACAAAATCTCTATGATGCATAGATATAAACATACATAATGCGGCACATGGCATGACATTACAAACAATTCGCGAAATCCGAGTGCGCATGCGTGAGTGACCAATGGAACATGGCGGGACACGTTGTAGACCAATATCTTCGTACTCTCCGGTGTGGACGACGCCATTTGTACCATTTACGGCGCGTGCAGGGGCGCGTGCAGGGAGCGTTGTCCCGACGACAGTCGCTCCGTTGTCGTCGGACTGAACTGGCGAACTGCCGGCACGGAAGTTTCTGCAAACTTCTGGATGGTGCCTCACTGCTGGGACTTTTGTAAGCTGGGTGGCGACCGGGTTTATACTGCTACTCTGCAGGGTTTTCTACTATCAATGCACTTACGGGCTAAAAAGGTATTTCTGGGCATGACTTTCAGGTCAGCAGTTCAGACAATACTTTGTCATTCATGGTCAACCCCTGTTCAACTATTTTCATATCAGTGACCATAATACGTAAATGCCGAGTAGCCAGAGCCGTTTGTCCAGTTTACAAAATAGCATGTTTCGGTTCTTTCATGGGCTGTTCTCAAGAGTGGATAGGGCGGCGATAAAAAAATTTAAAAAAAGACAAGCTTTACCAATTGGCCGCCCTAGAAAAGTGAGCCGTAATAATGAGTGCCAGTAGCACTGTCCACCCCTTTGCATCTCTTTTGACTGTAGAAAGCCAGATCAAAGAAAACAGTAGTCAGAAAACAAGTCCTTCTCGTGGTGTGCGTACAGTTTAAAATTGACCTAATATGTTGTTCAGTAGACTTCTAAGTTAAGAGTCTTGGCAAAGCAAAGTTGAACCGCCTATATACACAGCCTTCTGTGAAAGGCTGCAGACGAGGTAAGCATGCTACCAAGTGAGGCACATCTTTCGCTGTGTATCTGCCATGGTATATACGGGATTAAGAATATCTTGTGCATACTCCAGGCATGAAACGCGGGCGCACGCAGAAGTACGTGCATGTGTTGTATCACTTTACATAGTGGTGAGTGGGAGAAGCCACACCTAAAGACAAATGTACTGTGGCTATCATATTTGGTCGACAAATTATTCTCAACATCAGTACTAGACCCAGCAGCCAGACGATCATGGAGGGCAGAACTTAGAGCTCAAAAAAAGAACATACACAATTTTAATTCTGCACATGACATATTTATTGATTTAGTTAGGTAGAAAATATAACAACTTTGACCACCCACCTGCTTATTGGATAGCTGGCGCGAGCCAACCTAGCGGTCTGAACAGCGTGGAATTTCTATATTATATTATTATAAATTATGAATATCTTGTGCATACTCCAGGCATGAAACGCGGGCGCACGCAGAAGTACGTGCATGTGTTGTATCACTTTACATAGTGGTGAGTGGGAGAAGCCACACCTAAAGACAAATTCTCTTTGGCTGTCCTTTTTGGTCGAGAAATTATGCTCAAAATCAATTGCACTAGACCGTCCAGCCAGACGCTCATGGAGGGCAGAACTTCGAACTTTACGAAACAAGAACATTGAAAATTTTAACTGTGCACAAGATGTTTTATATACTTTTATAAGTTAAGTTGTTATTACAACTTTGACCACCCACCTGTTTATTGGTAAGCGGCAGGAGCGAGCAAACCTAGTGGTGCGAATGGCACGATTTTTATACGTCCGTAAGTGCGCATGCTCATCACTGCAGATCGTGATCTAGCGAGAGAAATGTCGTCCATTCGACGGTATCCACAAGGCTCAATCTTCGCGGTACCAAGGTGATGCGTGGCTGTGTCAAAGAGCACATTCTGATACGGTTTGTCTGGTGTTAATGGACCTTTATGGATCGTTAGGGTATAGTAGCTACACCCTTCACCATTGAAGAGAAAGAGATAGAGAATGGCGTGTCCGTGAGACTCCTGAACAGAGTGAGAGACAGAGCTTGCAGAAGGCAGAGGAGCGAGAAACACGACACCGTATTTTAGGATCTGGCACAACATGTGCCCCGAACCTCTCAAGCAGTGGACTGCATTTCATAACCTTGAGGGACTTCCCTGGTGAGTAAAGCAGTATCGTGTTTCTGTTCCCTTTGCAGCATCATGGCCGTCCCAGTCACAAAGGATAGGGCGGCGAGATAGTGCGCAGAGACAGGTGCTAAAACAAAACCCAATTGGCACGCCTAGAAAAGTGAGCCGTATTAAACAGTGGCAGTCGCACTGTTCATACCCTTGCGTCTCCTCTGACTGTAGAAACAAGATCAAAGGACAAACAATAGATCCTATCGTGCGTTTAATCACATGCACTGGTGTGCGTAGCGTTTATAGAGTTGTTGTTCGTTCAGCATGGATGCTCTAACAGAGAGCATTCAATGTGTATTTGGGAGAAAGAGAAACGTGAGTGTAAAGCAGTATCTTGTCTGTCTTGTTTCAGCATTATAGACAATGGTTGGAATCATTCTTATTTTTCATTTCACGATCAACACAGGTTGAGGACTCAAACCAACAGGTGAGAAAAGGTAGCATAGCATTTTTAATCCATAATTAAGTCACCTCCTTTGCTTTTTTCTCTGTCGCATGGCGACTTGCTATATACTACGCTACACTTGTGGGACTATTCCGAACAGTGAGAACATTCGAGAGGAGCAGCATAAGAGGTGAGTGTAGTTTGCACGGCCAGTGATTGAAAGATTGTGGTAAAGCCATCAACGGGATACAGTGCGGTCGACTGGCATCATCCCGTGTTGGCATCCAAAGGTGTTTAACAGTCTGAATTAATGCAGAGGAAAGGAGATGTCCAGTTTGAGGTGTACCGACAAATGAGAGAAGTGACAGGGTGAGTTATGGTAGCCCAGCCAGAGGAGAAGTGACAGGGTGAGTTATGGTAGCCCAGCCAGAGGAGAAGTGACAGGGTGAGTTATGGTAGCCCAGCCAGAGGAGAAGTGACAGGGTGAGTTATGGTAGCCCAGCCAGAGAGCAAGGGCCAAACTATAGGTTATACATATATTGAAAAGTGGGGTATATACCTGTGGACGTTTATAAATTAACATACTTCGAGGATTGCCATTTGAAACCTGGAGAGAACTCCATGTCTATTTCAAGGATCAGAAGACTCGATGATCGTTTAAAAAAAGACGAGGGAAGTCAGCAGTCAGAATTACTAAGAAATGCACCGAGCGCCATATATCTTTTGCGCCTCTCGCAGCTGTCCACGTACAGCCAATGCCGCGTACTCTGAGGCCGCTCGTCAGCATTCGTCCGCTCCTGCATACGCGTCTCAGTAGCTGCGCAGCTTGAACCCGACGCGTTCGAGTTAGCGTCCCGACTCTCCGCCCAGTCGTCCGGTTGCAGCGACGGAGCGAGACCTCAGACGGCCTTCCGTAGACTGGAAGTGCGGTGCCTAATGGTCCTTTACCGCGTCCTTGGTGACTAGATCTGACATTCCTAAGCGTGACTAATTGACGATGTACGTACGCATATCGCGAGAATACAACCCGGAGTAGTTGCCTCACGCTAATGCGCTCGGCAACTAGTCTCTTGCCTGTGACAGTATATTATGGTACATAAATTCTTCGTCCACCTATGGGAGCAGTCGCTGGCCTCGTCGAGTCCCTATCGTGAGTTAATCACATGCACTGGTGTGCGTAAGTTTAAAATTGACCTATTATTATTGTTCAGTAGACTTCTAAGTTAAGAATGTCTTGGGATTCCCAACCTTTGTGTATGCAGATGTCCTATGAGGGAATTATTACCAGCTCAGACATCAGCCCTGGTCTCTTTAGAGAAGTGACACGATTAAAGAGCCAGTTACTTTTGACTATTCGCACAATGCGAACATTGAGAACCAGAATAAGAGGTGAGAATGGTCGAGGGCATCAAGAAGGTTGGGGAGGGTACCTTTTCAGAGATTTTCTGGTACTCCGATGATACAGGGACCCAGCTGGTAATGAAGGTAAGCAACAGTGCTGATAAATCACCCAGTCTATTTCCTCAGATTATTCCCATTGCAGTGCAGCGCAGCGCTATAGTTACACTCCATTGAAACAGCCCGTGCTGTATGCGCACGCGCTTAGTGATTCATAGTGTACGTAAGTACTAAGTTTTTACAATGCCAGCTGTGCTCAAGGAAGTAGCAAGGAAGCAAGAAAGGAAGTAGCTTAGTTGTAATGTATTGTGTTTTTAAACAAGTTGGTATATTTTACTGAAAAAGACAGACAAGTCGACATTGGAATTCAGAATAGAAAATATTCTCCTCAACACACATGGAGTGAAGGCCACAATAGTGGATTCGGGTTAAGAAAGGGAACTGTATATCTTATAATAATTTGGAGACTCTTCCCTGGCTATTTGAAGGGAAAGGAGACATCCATGCTATGTTTTTTAATGTGTACCAGGTCCATTTCTACGGATGAAAAGAGTGTTTGCCAAAGAATCGTAAAAAGGCGGGGTAAATACCTACATACCCTTGGCCATTGTCAACCTGTGAACAGCAATTGCGAAAAAACGAGGCACCCCATTCGTATTAATCGGTCAACGTACTGATGTAACTTTGCACTTCTCAGATCTCTATTTAAAGATTGTGTATTATACCTACTATCAACCGAGAGGCCGTCTAAATCGCGTATTTCCATCGATGCACAGTAAAACCTATACAGTGCATTATAATTAAGGAGATACCCAAATGACGGGCCTGGCCGCGTCTCCGCCTTCAGAGCATATGGATCTCCGTGTTCGGAACAGCACGGCCAATCCTCCGTTGTAGAATCTACAGTAACCAAGGGCGGGGCCGAGGGCAAGCTCCTTCGAAAAGCGTGCGGTCTTTGTCTGTGCGGTAGTTGGGTTGTGTACCTCTCTCCAAATGCGAAAGAGGTCAGCCCTGCTCTTAGAAAAGTCATGCGACTTAGGAGCCGGTCACTTGTGACTATTCGCACAATGAGAACATTCGAGAGGAGCCAGCATAAGAGGTGAGAGTAGTTGCACGGCCAGTGATTGAAAAGATTGCAGGAAAGACCATATTCCTGTTTGCCTCTACCTGTATAAAACTCTCTGATAGGTGGCAGTGTAGTAGAGCTGTTTCATCTGAATCTTGTCAGTCCTCCGTTGTAGAATCTACAGTAACCAAGGGCGGAAGGGGCACGTGCGTCGCACTGTCAAGACAACACTAAGGCACCAGCTAGACATAAAATATCAATAATCATCGCAAGACGATCGCCGTCGTAAACAAAGGCGTTGCCGGGGAGCTACGTCCCTTTTTCCACAAGAGTTTCGACTAGAGAGCTAGCCAGAACGATGTCGTCAGCACGATGGGGAGGAGTGTGGTAAAGCCATCAACAGGATACAGTGCCGGTCGACTGGCATCATCCCGTGTTGGCATCCAAAGGGTTATTAACAGTCTGCATTAATGCAGAGGACTGCATTTAATTTAATGACCTCGAGGGACTTCCCTGGCTCTATGAGGGGGAAGGAGATGTCCAGTTCGATGTAAACCGTAAAAATGAGAGAAGTGACAGGGTGAGTTATGGTAGCCCAGCCAGAGGAGAAGTGACAGGGTGAGTTATGGTAGCCCAGCCAGAGAGCAAGGGCCAAACTATAGGTACATATATTGAAAAGTGGGGTATATACCCTGTGGACGTTTATAAATTAACATACTGCGGAGGATTGCATTTTAACCTGGAGAGACCTCCATGGCTATTTCAAGGATAAGACGACATCCAGTTTGATGTTTAAAAAAAGACGAGGGAAGTCAGTCACCAGCAGCCAGAATTACTTTCCTCGATTGCCAAAGAGACCTCTCTCATTGTCCACAGGGGTAAAATGGATATGTCGCTACTAAGGGCCCCCAAGGCGTGCGTAGTTTCCATGGACGAGGCATCTAACTTCAAAACAGTGTCCTTTCTCCACTTCAGGCATTAGAGCTGGAACATCGTGATTTACACGAGTCCAATATTTTAGTGAAAAGGACAGACAAGGATACTTTGAAATTCATGATAGATAAAAAACAATTTCTTATCGACACTCATGGAGTGAAGGTCACGATAGTGGATTTCACTCTCTCTCGGGTGAAGAAAGGTGCATTGTGTACTGCGCATGTGCATGTGATGTAACATAGTTTGCATTAATGCAGATGACTGTATTTCTTATAATAATAATAATATCTGGTTATATAAGCTTAAGCTGAGAGAGTGCATATAGCCCCTTTGTCTGTGGGGTAGTTGTGTTGTGTTCCTCTCCCATTGTCCACAGGGGTAAATGGGATATGTTTCATCCCCAAACAAACACCAAACGAATGTGCCCTGAATGGCCTTCTTGCGTGGGAAAGCTTTCCTCAAGAGCTATTGAAGTGGAGTCCCCTGCCAGAATCTCTTGAAGTGAACTTAGCACAAGACGCGTACGTAGATTTTGATTTATTAAATGTAACACAATTGTTAACTTTAAACACCGCTCTGTACATGGCAGCACTTAATTGATGCTGAAAAACTACCCACACATCCTCAGATGCAAAAGTCAGAGCTTTGGTGCAGATACCACACATGCTTTCAGTGTAAAAGGTCTGAAGAAGTGCGACGAGTGGTGACTGAACACAATTACAAGAATACCTCCTTGCCAAGCGCGTAGCTGCAGAATGCACGGTCTTTTGCCACTGTGTAAAAAATGGTTTCTACTCCCAAGGAAGAAATTGCTGACCTGACTAACCCCTCAAACCTCAGGGCCATGTCAGAAAATATCACATTATTATTCAAGAAGCTCAGCACGCTCAACATAATCTATCCACTTTAGACCCAAAGTCGCACACAGTCTTCGTATATATACAACAAGAAGAAACTCACTCTCTTCGAAAGCAGAAACGCACATATGGCCTTTCTAGATATCAGGAAAGCATTTGACACAGCATGGCACAGTGGCCTGCTCCAGAGAAAGTTACATACACACTGTGGTATCAACAGTTAATGGAAACTACAGCAAGTCCAGCCCCCTCCCAGTAAAGCAAGAAGTCTGTCAAGGAGCTGTACCTTATACTTTGTGTGCTCTAGCACAATGCAATAAGACAATGAAGATTAGGAGAATGGGGCTGGGGTCTTTTGCAAATGATTGTCCTAAACAAGACCACCACACCAGTGTTTGCTACTTCTCTAATGCAAGGAACAAGGTGCTGCAAACCAAAGGCCTGTGAATTGAAAGACATATTTTACCGCCTAATAAATTTATCAACCTGTTAACAGATTATGGTTCCACCCAAAAAAGCAATTGAAGCTGCAGGTTGTCGGAAGTAGAGGCACACTGTTTAAGACTGTGGATGAAGTGGCCTATAGGCCAACAAACCTGACTGTAATCATGCGGTGCACATCGCGGTTTGCACCATAATTATGTATTACTAAACTTTTCAGCAACTGTTTGACGGCTCAATCTAAGTTCTGGCAGGTTGTTATGGCAATTCCGGTATATACCACCTTGGCAAGCTTTGGTAACGCAAGTGGATACAAAGTACACTTCAACCTCATCCATGACTGCTGTGCCTACTAGGATGTGCATTGCCTGCCTATTTAGGTTTGTGGTCTTGAGCGGAAGTGATGTTGTGATATCGTGGGTTAAAAGGCTGTTGATGTCTACCGAGGTGATCTGACCAATAGTTAGTGGTGAATCAATTCTCCAGAAACCTAAGATTCCTCCACAGACTGCACAACAAGCTATGGAGGATTAGCAATGTATGCAGGCACCGTACACCTTCCTCAGGAGGAATAGGTAGACCTCCATAACTTACTATAGCATACTACCATGGATATACAGTATGGCCATGCCTGCACATCTAAGTTGCGTTACAGTGGTCACTAAAAGATATCTGCAGTGGATTTGGTCCTACATGCGTGGAATATAATTATGAGTCTGCGCCTCCGGACAGCTCAAACAATGCTTTGTATATACAAGTTTGAAGTTGCGTCTGTTCACAGTATAATTATGTTTTGACCAAGATTTGGTTTGGTTTTAGTACTGGAACATAGGAACTAAGTCTATTTTACTTCACCTGGGTCCTTGAAAAAATGTCACAACCTTTTTTTTTACATCCAGTAAAAACGCAGCAAACACCATTGCTGTTCTGATAGCAATCCAGTTAGCTGTATATATGTCCCATAAGAAAGGTATGCCATAAGTAAAGTACGTGGTGCCTGTTAACACAACCACTTCTGGGGCCCATGTGAACGCGACCCGAACAGTGCTAGAGAACAAGATCTCGCACCAGGATGCACGCGGACTGCGTGCTAATACATGAGAGCATAACGCTCACCGTGCGCGGTGGCGCAGACGGATCCCCGGTCCTCAGATCCAGTCAGGCCCCAACAAACGGCACAGAACAGAGAAATGAGAGCACTGGTTCTCCGAGAGATTCTTCTCGTTTTCACTAGGAGAGACAACAGCCTGTAGAGAGGGGGGGAAATTATGACACGCATCCATGTGCAGAACAGAGCAAAACGCTCGGCGTAAAATATATAGTCACCGGACGGACGCGCGTTCCATACGTCCGCAAGGGCCACTAGCATTTTTCACTTACTGCTTGTTTGGACTCCATCGCCGACGAAACTGGACCGTCGTTACAGCCCGAGGCGCCTCGACAGCACAACTGGATGGAAAAAGATCACATTAGTTACATGGTTACCTAGACAAAGGGTTGGGAAGAACTAAAAGTTGAAAACCACTAAGCAAAAGCGTCCAGAACTCACTTGCAGCAGTTTCCCGCAGCAACGCAGCAAAGCGTCTCTGTCGTCTCTCCGGTTTCTGGTTCTGCGGCCTGCGTATGTACTTATATACTTCCGCGCAACGCGCATGCGCACAACTTGCGGCGGCGCCAAGAAAAAACCCCTGGCCGGCTCGGCCCTGAACAGTGCAATTAGAAGAATGGGGCTGGGGTCTTGTTGCAAATGATTGTCTAAAACAAGACCACCACACCAGTGTTTACCACAAGGAGGAACAAGGTGTGTGCAAACCCTAGGTGTGTGAATTGATTATTATTCCAGTTTATACATGGAACTTCTCAACTTGTTGTGGATACAAACACAGGAGTTTGTCAGTTGCTGACAAGGTTGGACAAAAAGTAAGACAACCCACACAAGCCTCACCACAGTTAAGAGCAGGTCACCAACGCCAGCACTGCGAGCCACGCTGGCCAAATGTATAATATTATTATACGCACGAGAAAGATGCAAAACACAAAAAGCAGTTACATCAGTGTATCAATATGAAGTTCTCATGCATCAAACCCAGGAGGAGGAACTTGTCCAATTAATGAAGACTCATCCATAAACTCTTCTTCTTCAGCTAGCATGTCATCCAACAAATCTGGAGGCTCACACGACAGCCTCAATCTTTTGTCCCCCTCTCTCTTCATCGGCTCTCTACTTCCCTCGGTTCCAGGGCCCTGCTGTGTCACCTTCTCCTCATCTTGGTCGGAGCTGTCACTGCCCCTCTCTCGTTTTCTCGTCCGTCGTTCCTCTCCCTCCCGCAGTATCTCGCTCTCTCTCATTAGAAGTTCATCATATTCGTCAATTTCTTCTTCTTCTCTGTTTGTGGGTAAGTTCCTTCCATTACTGGGCGGATCATCATTCTGTGGCTCATCCTTACTTTCATGGTCTGAGGTTGTTGATGATCTATTTTTCGACACGTCTCTCTCTGAGTTCAGCTGTAATTCACCACTCCCTTCATTGGTGGGACTGTTGCCAGGGTGATGGTTGGTAGAAGAGTTGTTGCCATGGCGATCATTGTTGGCAATGTCGTCGCTGTCATCATCGTCTGGAATTGGAGGGGTTGGTCCCCTCGCCCACCTGCGACGCATCTGGATAAGCTGGGACTGCAGGAAATAAGTCAAAGCAGTGAAATCCCTCTCATCATGCTGAAAGTTTGTCACGCTGAGCTATAGTTAGCTACCAAGCATATGACTGCTGTATAATGAATGGAGACTTGTATTTCACCAAAATTTTTGAGCAGACCGCAATTTACTGTCTATGCAACACACAATTCAACAATGGAAAGTATGACTGAGGATCCACGTAAGGAATGCAAAAGGATGTACTTTGAATTCCTTCTTCGTGGCGAGTTTCTCAATCCTGTCAGTGACATCTTTGAACGTGAGCTTGGGATAGAGGGCATTGGCCCAGTGTTCATACTGCTGCATCAGGTAGCTCAGGTCTCCCACCTACATAATATATACATACACATGAGACACATTGGCAACTTAACACGTGCTGCTTTGATTGACAGAGCTCATTATGCTGTACGATGCTAGTGTCACTACTAGCAATGGATTCCGGGCAAGCGAATGCTAGAGTTACAGGTACATGTGCCGCAGCAACGACTGCAAAACTTTTAATCGGGTGCACTGCGTTTATTTAGAACTGCATAGACACTAGTGTAAGAGTGGCAAAGTTTGGATACAAACACAGGAGTTTGTCAGTTGCTGACAGGGTAGGGCAAAAGTAAGACAACCCACAACAAGCTTCAATCCCAGGTAAAAACAATTCTTGTGCCACTTTACCAAATGTGATTAGTATTGCAGTTTGCATTACACACTGACCGACCTCATGCCCTTTTCCCTTGAACTTCAGCTTTGGAAATTCTTTCTCGATACGCGAGAGGCCTTTCTCTGAGAATATCCTGCGTGAAAAAACCTCAATCCAAAAAAATCTCAGTCCAGAAACTAAGTCCTTGCCACATGAATGAAAGCCACTTATCACCTACTTACTACTGGTGTTGGGTTGGACAAAGCAGCGCTATTTGAAAGCCACCTTCGTCCAAGTCCCTGTAGCGTAATGGTTAGCGCATTGGACTTCTAATTCAAAGGTTGTGGGTTCGAGTCCCACCAGGGATGCTTTTTAGCCTTCTTTTTTTAACGCAAACTCCATTGCAAAATAAAGTAATGATCTCGTTGACACAGTACATGCCAGTAATCATACACTTTTTATGGATATCTTGTTAGATACCGTCTATTATAAGTTGAGGCCACTCAATTATGCATTCCCAAACTAGAGCAAACTACGGCATATGTACCACACCAAACTTCACTGTATAAAGCATCGTACACCTTCAAAGTAATTTTAAAATGATAATAATAAGTGAGAGTGTTTATGCGGGACAATCATACACTTCAAAATGAACCTTGATCCCATGCTTAATGAACTGAAAAAACCAAAAAAAGCATCCCTGGTGGGACTCGAACCCACAACCTTTGAATTAGAAGTCCAACACGCTAACCATTGCGCCACAGGGACTTGTCTGAATGCAAGGTGACAAAGGAAGCCAGTCAATACCACCACCCACACACTCTTCAGTAATACGAATGTCAGTAATATGAATGCACATACACGGCTGGCGCCAGAGTGCACCAGAGGGGACATAGTCCCTCTATCTCTTCATTTGTCCCCCTGAATATGCTTCCCAGGGGACATTTTGACCCCTAAATAGTAGGTGTCCTGCTATTGGGACCATCTAAATTTCTTGCCAGGGGGCTGATTGTCCCCCAGCAATAAATCTCTGGAGCTCTGCACATACCTGTCAATGGTGAGTGTAAGGATGGGTGCTCTCTTTTTCTGGATTGCCTGATCTCCACTGCCTTGATCAGCACCACCTGAAACAGACCCCACTCCAAATCAAACCCAGCAACCCCTACCTTTGACACGTTTACCCAATGTTACATGCACATTTGAGCTAAAAATTGAAAATGCTTGGACCTTTAGAACACAACCGTTAGATGCTCCAGCTAGAAAAATACTGTGGAGGTCTTTCTGGTATATATGGATACCCTTGTGTTGTGAGAAGATTCTACTTCACTTACCAGTTGCAGGAGTTCCCTGCACGTCGCTCCAGTCCCCCACTCCCCCACCTCCCCCCCTGGCCCCTCGTACTCCCGCTGGTGTGTGGGGGTGATGCTGTGGAAGTTGTGAGAGTGATGGCATGGGAGGAGGGAGAGGGGGAGGATCCTCTTCATCACTGTTGACGACATCGTCTGCAAACAGTGGTTCTCCTTCTTCCTCGTCCTCCCAGTCATCGCTGTGTCGAGGGGACAACTCCATAGCCTTGATATACGTATGAAGACCTGGTCTAAGTAGGAGAGACTCAGGTTTATAAACTCTTATAAGACATACATACACGTACCAAACCTTGTCTATCGGCGTGGATAAGCTCAGACCCTGAAACTAGAGCTGTATATACACTCGTATATACTCGCTCCTCGACGCTTTTCCCGCGTCTTTCCCGCGCGATTCACGTGCACCTGTATTTGCTGATTCTGCACAAGGAGATCGAGATGGGCGGAGTCTACATCTGGCCAGCAAACTAGATTTTACAGTTTAACCGTCCCGCAGAGGAGCTACCTGCCAATCTATGCCGGCTGCTGCAGGTGCTAGCAAAGTCGTCTGCACGCGTTAAAGGAAGTCTACACGAGACAGAGGCGACGTACGCGTACCTACTGTCGGGTGGGAGGAAATGGCAAACTACCTCCAGGAGGTGTCTGACAAGTTCCACTACATCCACTCGTGCGAGCTCAACATCCCTTTCAGAATCAAGATGTGAGAAAACATTAGCTGTAGTAGAATCCCACTGGAATGCTGAGCTGCAGGCGTGAACTTTTTCACTGTGTGTCTGTGCTTATAGACTAGTTAGCAGTCTTATCTAGGACTAAAACACTGTCTGTAATGCATTATGTTAAGCCACATGTTCTGCATACATACAGAGGGACACTAGAAGGACAGAGGGAGAAGAAGAGTGTCCAGGACCTACTGGAGAACCCCCAACTCCAGTTCTCGGGGCTCTACCAGAGCGAGCACTCTGACCTCTACGTCACTGCCCAGGTCTTTGCCAACGGAAAGTCACTGACTCTACCGACACAGACAGCCTACAAGGCCTTCTCCACGCGGTGGAACTGGAACGAATGGCTGCTCCTCCCAATCCATTTCAAAGACGTCCCGAGAAACGCAGTGCTGGCACTCACTATCTATGACATCTACGGACCACGGAGAGCCGTACCGGTCGGCGGGACGACCATACCGGTCTTTGGTCGCCACGGGTGTCTCCGACGAGGGATCCACGACCTGCGGGTGTGGCTGGGGAAGGAGGCGGACGGCTCGCTCGCTGGGTCGACCCCTGGGGAGATGAGCGAGGAGGGAGAATCCGAGATGATGAGACTGTCGCGACTCGTCAAGAAACACCGCCGAGGTCGAATGATGCGAGTGGACTGGCTCGACCGACTCACCTACCGGGAAATCGAGGTCATCAACGAACGAGAGAAACGGAGCACCAACTACATGTACCTCACGATCGAGTTCCCGGCCTTCCACTTTGACAACGTCGAGCACGCGGTCGTGTTTTTCGAGCCGGACGGGAATCTTCAGGAGATCCAGCCACCCAAATCAGAGTTCCTTCTGGTGAACGACATGGAGTGGAACCTAGAAAACCTGGTCGAGCTGAAACACCATCGCCTGACCCACAGCCTGAGGGAGGGAGCCATTGCGAGGGAGCTAAAACCTAACACTCGTACACGAGACCACATCGCTCGAATCCTCAGCTACCCACCGACACACGAACTGTCGACGGACGAAAAGTCCCTCATATGGCAGTTTCGCTACTACCTCACCCAGGAGAGGAAGGCGCTGGCCAAGTTTGTTCAGAGCATTGACTGGCAGTCGAAACAGGAGGCGGACGAGGCCGTGGAGCTGATGTACCGCTGGCAGCCGCTCGATACCACAGACGCTCTCGAGCTCCTCACGAGAGATTTCAAAGACGCTCGCGTGAGGAAATACGCAATCTCAAGGCTCCAGTGTGCCGACAACGACGAGCTACTCCTCTACTTACTACAGGTATATATAACATCAGGTGTTTTATAGTGACTGTAAATTTGTGACATAGTCTCAATGTATGTACTTCATAAAAGGTAAAATGTTTTTTTGCAGTTCACAATTTTGTCTGCGATTATCCGTTTGTGCATATTATGGTATTCATACTTCGATCATTGTACGTAGACATATAGACACACTATTGCAAGCATAGTCTAAGATTTAAACCTCAAAGCAAGGCTTCTAATGTACACGTGTAGAATAGTTTGGATCAGCACTAGCACATGTTTTCAGTAAAGTGTGTGTTGTTATTTCAGTTGGTGCAAGCTCTTCGCTACGAGACCCCAGAGTTTCTGGAGCACGAGGAGGAGGAAGAGGAGGACGAGGAGGAAGAGGGAGAGAGTGAGGACCAGAAAGACCTCTCTCTGGAAGCCACCTACAGCGAATGTGAGGCAATACATACACATGTACAGTTCCATTGGATCAATACATACACATGTACAGTTTCATGTACATGTGTACATGTCTGAGTGTATATGCGCATGCAATATTAGGGAAACAATACTGTAACATAAACGGTGCATTTGAAATGTTAAGCGCAACAAATATAATTATATAGCGCTCTTGAATGCGCTGAAAGGCTGTATAAAACCTCACCGCGGTGAATTTAACCTATGCACTGCAGCAACAAAGCAGAGACTGGAGCAGGAGTTGGCAGAGGCAGCCCAGGAGGACCACCGCGATGAGTCGGGGGGCAGTGGAGGGGACGCCAGCTCCAGGGGGGAGGGGGAGGAGGGGGGCAGCGGGAGCGACAGTGAGAGGGAGGCGGGGCCGCTGCCGGTCCAGATGCAGAACAGTCTGGAGATGTCGGTCTGGTCTCTGGACGTGTCTCTGCCTCCCGGGAGTATGGAGTCCTCCGTGTACGAGACTGAGGTACGAAAGACACACACGTGTACATATATAGCAAAACTGTAGCAGTGTTATATAATTATATCTCTGAACGGGCAGAGCGAATAAAGAGCAAAACTTTAGCGGTCATTTTAAGCAATGATGTAAACCCTTTAACCGCCACGTTGCCTGCCAAATTGAATCTGTCACTCTTGACTCAGTTCCCAGACCTGACCAGTTTCCTGCTGGCGAGAGCATCTCGCAGCACTCAGCTGGCCAACTACTTCTACTGGTACCTCTCCGTGGAGTGCACCGAGGGCAAAGACAAACTGAAGTACGAGAGAATCCGACTCAAGTTCCTGGACGGGCCTCAAATCCGTGAGTTGCAATGAGTGGGGGGGGGCAGCTTTGTCCCATTCTTAGTATGTAGCTCTCTTTTTCTTACATTCTTTCCTCGTTCACTTTCTGTCCTCCATGCCCCTTCACTCTCTCTAAGAGTCCGAAACAGAAGTGGAGGAAGAGATACCACATGCTGACTCAGCAGGAGCTGCTCCTGGGAGAGCTAAAAGCCATCATGGCCACCATCGCTAGTCTCAAGGAAGACAGACCAAAGAGGGTAAGCCATTTCTCTCCTCCTTGGTAGAGATATAGACCTAAGAAAAATATAATGCGTATTTTGTGCTGGGCAAGACAATAGAGCTCAAAGGTATATACTGTCATTGAGTGTACATTAAAACTTTGTCCAAAATTCTGCAAATAATAGCAGAATTGAGAGTGTAGCATAGACTCAAGCTTTGACCTGGTGATTGGTTCCACAGATTGAGAAGCTTCGCAACATTCTCTTGTCGCGAGAGAATCTCCTCACGTTCAAGAGAACCACCAGACTTCCCCTCGACCCCCACGTACTGGTGAGCCTCTATTACCCCGTTCTCATCTCTCTTCTATATACCCTCTTTTTTGAACGTGTCAGTATACATGGCTTAATTTAGAAATGTTGCATAGTAAATTAGATATTGCTGCATTCCCTTTAATAGCCTTAGATGGCAAAATGTAATGATAGTGTGTGTTTCATAGGTTGTGGGAATTGATCCCGACCACACCTCCTTGTTCAAGAGTGCCCTGATGCCGTCCCGGTTTGGATTCAGGACTGACAGCGGACAGCTCTACTCCGTGAGCTTCTGACTCATACATGTGTTGTCTATGATGACATTTCTGTATATATCCTTTTCACGTTTGATCCCTGTCTTTACTACACCGCCAGGCGCTCTCATGCACCAGCTCACATCTACTGTGTGGTGTACCTAAGTAGGCCTATTGTTGAAGCAATATTGCAGTTCTGTTTTTCCTTCCTCTTTCTATCTGTAATTTTGAGTTGTTTATTTTCCATGTCATTGCAGTGGCGGATCTAGGATTTTGAAAGGGGGGTTCCGCACGAGGCCGGTGATGCATCGTGCGCGCAAAATGATAAAAAGGGGGTTTCCGCGGAACCCAAGGAACCCCCCTGGATCCGCCACTGCATTGGCTAACAAGCAATAAGATTTCTTATGACCAGTGGCAGATAAACATTTGCTAAATTCCTCCCTCCCCCTGTATCTCTGACTGCAGGTGATGTTCAAGTTGGGAGACGACCTGAGACAAGATCAGCTCATCCTCCAACTCATTACACTAATGGACAGGATCCTCCGTAGGGAGAACCTGGACCTCAAACTGACGCCTTACAATGTCCTAGCCTGCTCCTCGAACCACGGTCAGTACCACAACGAATGCAATGCAAGTACAGTTCAATTTCCCGCAGGCATATGTATGAATCATATACAGTACGTGCATGTATAAGAATCCCGCATTCACTTTGCTCGCCAATAATTTTATACCACCCATGTCTTATTAAATTTCCATCTACTTTCGTGGAGAGGGAGCTCTCTTTAGTACGGGACTCAAAAAGGCATGTGGTTTTCTTAGTCTCGTGAGCTAGACTGTCAAGAAAAGTAATCTTCCTTCATTACGTCTGCCCTACAAGATTCTGTTTTTTTTTTGTAGAACAAGTTAGATGATACTCCTTCATTCTTTGCTAACGCAGGTTTCATTCAGCTGGTGGACCAGACTGACACACTGGCTCATGTTCTTCAGACTTTCAAGAATATACAGGTGGGGACTTCCCCAAATCTCCACATGCACGTGAAATTTCACAAACTCTGCGTGTGTTGGTTGCAGAATTTCTTTAGGCATTTCGGTCCGATGGAAGGTGCGCCGTACGGCATTGATCCTGATGTGATGGACACCTACGTTAAGAGCTGCGGTAAGACGTGCAGTACACTCAGTGCGCTAGTTCGTTCAATACTTGCATATGTACGTATATACCATAGCTAACGGTGCCAAATTACCTTATGGACTGTATACACCAACATGTTTATGTGTATGTCCCTTTACTGTTACTGTAAGTGGCAACATTCACTTGAAAGGCCTACTTTTGGTATATATATGGACAAATTAAAACTTATAAGGTTATAAGCTGAAGCAGTACTCTGTGTGTGTGTGTGTGTGTGTGTGTGCTTAACCATACCTTGTGCTACTAAAAACTTGACCATCCCCCTCCCCTCTCTCTCTCTCTCTCTCTTCGTGTGTGCTCAGCTGGCTACTGTGTGATAACCTACCTCCTGGGAGTTGGAGACAGACACAACGATAACCTACTTCTCTCTGAGAGTGGTCATCTCATTCACGTCGACTTTGGCTACATCCTCGGGCGGGACTGCAAGCCGTTCCCACCTCCCATGAAACTCAACAAGGAAATGGTACACACATACACTATATCACTAAGTACGGTAGTACTTAGTATATAGGGATGACACAGGTCATCCTGCATCATGCCCATACATTTGAGATTTTCATGTTTCATACTATGTATAGTCCCCACTTTTTATTGGTACTCTCAAGGAATATGGTACGCTTAATAGTAGTTGGAGTATGGAATAGTAATTTACATCCTCTCCCTTCATCTTCATACCTTCCCCCAATAAGGCTTCAACAATTTTGCATTTTTTTCACACACTTGAAGTGAAGAAGAGACAAACGAACAACGTCAGATAGATTGTCTGTAGTGGGAGTATGGAATAGTAATGTTTTTAATTAGCATACTGCATCCTCTCCCTTCATCTTCCTACCTTCCCCCAATAAGGCTTGAACGATATTGCATTTTTTTCACACACTTGAGTGGAATTTAAAATAAAACAAATCATGCTCAATAGTTTGCCTGTAGTTGGAGTATGGATTGACTTTCCAGTCAACCTTAACACATTTTGCACCCATCCCCTCTTCCACACACGCTTCTGCCAATAACAAAAGTCTATCAAACCATGCCATTTGACTGATTGACATACACTAAGTAATCATAATTACGTACTATACTCCCTTTGGCCTTACAGGTTGAGGCAATGGGAGGTATGGCCAGCTCAGAGTACCAGAAATTCAGGGAGCACTGCTACAATGCCTTTCTGGCACTGAGAAGGTACGTGCAGCTTACACACTGCTCAGTGTTAGTGTCCTTGTCCTACCCCACATGATTCTCACTGTGTGTGTGTGTGTGTTTGTGTGTAGGTCTGCAAACCTGATTCTGAACCTGTTTTCTCTGATGCTGGATGCCGGCGTCCCTGACATTGCTCTTGAACCTGACAAAACTGTCCAGAAAGTCAGTAGATCCACCAACTCCACACACTTATCCATTACCTCTTCTCCTACTCTCTCCTTCTTCCCTCCCTTTCTCCTCTCTCTTCACCTTCCTCTCTCTCTCTCCACCAACTCCACACACACCCCTTACCTCCTCTCCCCACTCACTCTCTCTCCCTCTTTCCCTCCCTTCCTTATACCCTCCTTCCCCCTCTCTTTCTCTGTCTCTCTCTCTCTTCCACCCACTTTCCCTCAGATAAAGGACAAGTTCTGTCTGGATCTGAATGAGGAAGAGGCGGTGCAGCACATACAGTCACTCATTGACGAGAGTGTCAAGGCCATGATGGCCGTCTTTGTGGAACAGATACACAAATGGGCTCAAGTGAGGCACAGTGTTGTTACCGTTGTAATACAGAGTCCTTTTTCTCAACACGTTCTCTTGTTTTCTCACTTACAAAATTTTGGCTGATAGCTCAAAATGTAGTTAGCACTTTCTCTGTACAGTGCGTGTGTAAACTACGAGGTAGAAAGGCAAAGGCACATGCAACAAACAAGTCAACTATACGTTCACAGAAACAATCCCAGCTTACTAAGCTACGTACCCTGGTAGCAGAGTTTGCTCTGCCTAGAAAGCAAAGTGTCATGGATTCTATTCTTGTTGTTTGTTGATTTGGCAAAGTATATCGTTGTTGTGTTGTTTGCCTTTTGGGCCTTGTGACCTACAATAGAGCACACATGGTTTCTAGGAAGGTCACATAACCTCTTCTTGTGTCTTCTCTGTGCATTGCAGTATTGGAGGAAATAAGGAGGAAGTGGGACACCAGCAGTGTGTGGGGACAGGTATCAGTCACTCATTCCTGAGCCAGCAGCAAACATACCGTGTCATCACATGCATTCCGTGCATAGTTTCGTTGGAAGAGTTTATGTTTTGTACCAGTCGTCCATACTGAAAGCATTACTGACAACAGATATTAGCATCATAAATACTACAAACTAAACCCAACTACATATTCATCAGGAGTTGTAATAACATGTGCCATGTCTGCAAAAAATGACGTGTGTTGTATCACGTCCCTGCTGCTGTAAAAAGCTCTGTGATTAAACTAATCGCTCTTTCCTTTTCCGACTTGGTTGGGGATGAGTTGACGAGCAGGGTCTAACCCCAGCAACATGAAGTGTCTCTCATAAGCCTTGCTGTGTCTGAAGGCAGTGTCCGTGCCGTGGAGTCGGTCCAACACTCCCAGTGTTCCAAAATTCTGGTTAAACCTGTTTGCCAGTAAACATCATGTGTATCAAAAATGACCAACATTCTAAGGCCGTGATATGCATGATGCAAGTTCTTTACGTGAGTCAAACATTGCATGCGACTCCAAATGTGTGGGTGTGATGGGTTCAACACAGCATGTCACACGCAATAGCTTTCTTTTTTCATGCAAATGGTCTATCGTACCCATACATTTGAAGTTGCATGGAATTTCGTCTCGTCACACTAAACTCTGTAGAGCCTTACTTGAGATGGTGGAAGTCGTGTCCCTCGGGAGAGGGTAGGAAGGGGAGATGGTACCCGCAGTGGCCCATTGTGGTGTTGAAGATGGCCACACTGTACCACAGAATGGCCACGGAGAGGTGGGACCCCATGACCAACGGACCGGCAAGGATCGGCATGAGGTTCACGAACACGTGCTCCAGAGGGTGGCAGTACACGGAGACTATTCCGACCGGTGCCGTCCACTCGTGGTGTGTCTTGTGGATGTGCTTGTAGAGGAGCCTGTGGTGGCACAGCCTGAGGCGAAACAGTTGAGAGATTAATTTCCAAATTGTCTGTGGTAAAACTAATTAGAGTCACATAGTGCAGATTCTCCTTAACCATTCACTATTTTTTGAGAGAGAAAGCTTTTGTACATCTCCGAAACTGGTAACTCTGCAATTTGTTAATGGGACAAGGTTTTCTTCGCGAGATTCGTGTTTCCTATTAATCACATTCTCCCCCAAACTGTACGGCAATAAACTGCTTGCCTGTGAGTGTAGTAGAAGCCAATCTCCACGATCACCAGAAAGCCAAGGATGTGTAGGATGGTGGTAGAGAACTGAGGCAGCTCGTAACCAGAGGGGTTTCCCCTCCATTGCACCACAGGGTACATGGCGAGACTGACACCCAGACTGACAAAACCAGTGTTGAAGACGACCCTGCGCAGGGCTTTCTTGTACTGTACCCAGCTTACCTGTGGGACGAGGGAAGAGGAGAAAGATGAAAAGAGAATTGGGGGAAGAAAAGCAGAGAAAGACTGAACAATGATTTCGAAACATAGTAAATGTCTGATCAAAGAAAATCATTGCTATAGAATAGCTATTGTTCAAGGGAGAGTTTAAATAAATGAAAGAGTATAAATAAAAGCTTTCTTGATTTTGAATTTCCGTACTGTGAAAGCATGTGTCAACTACAAGGTACATATATAGCAAGGCGAAGAAGGCAAATGGACAATTGGCACCACTGTAGTCTTACAGGTACGTTCTTGTCCTCCTGTATCTTGTACCGTAGCATGAACTTGGGCCAGGCAGTCAGGTCCACAAACGTGAAGAAAACATTTGCCAATATGAATACAGCATTGGACATGAACCACGGACCTGTACATACATCACCAAGAGAAACAGGTTTTAGTTTCAATTTCACCCACACTGAAGTAGACACCAACACTCTGACTTACCGAATCCCCAAAGGATAAACTCGTTTTCTCCGTGTGCCCTATAAACAAGGCCCCATACACTGGTAAAGAAACTTCCAGAAGCTCCCCAGAACTTTTCCAAGTTCCTATGTATTACACACACAGCAAACAGTGATAGAGCCCACATGGAGAGAGTATTTTGAGGACGTATGAAACTCACCATATCAGGGAGTTTCTGAGGGCTACCAGCACGACGAGGACGCACGTGATGATGAAGACGCCCTTGTGAAGGGCCTCGTAGGCCACCCTCATCCTCTCCCGCAGCTGCAGTACCCGGGAGATGACCGGTGGACCGTGATATGAGGAGGAGCAAGTGGATTTTTGGGACACTTACCGCCCACATCTTGTCTCTGGGGGGCCGAAGACGACCTCGAGCTGAATGTTTCGATTTGCCAATTCACACACGCCCTAATAAATAAAGAATCCCCGTTTATGCGCATGCGCAGGGCTAAGAAATGGTGTTCTTCTGGACTGCAGTTTTGTTACTGTTGGTTTTACCAATGCTAATACTCGTGGCCACTGCTAAATGGCGTGGCTACCGTGTATTAGGTTTGTCTACGGACGTCAACTCGGGAGACGTTGACGATTCGTTTGCACTGACGTACGTCGTGACACGAGGCTTCTTTGTCGACGGAAAACTCTCCTTCGCACTAGCCTTTCTAAGATGGTTTGTTCCGCTCCTGCAACCATACACCATTCGGATTGCCCTAGAGAGCAAGGGAGACCTAAAACTCTTAGTGGAGCAAATGAACGCTCATATGTATGGACGTGTTAGTCGTGTGGAAGGTGGTTTTCTGTCAACCAACTTTGAGCTCATCGAGTTGTATCAATCAGGGTACAAAGTTGTGTTTCCAAATGTTATTTATCCAAACTATGAACTAGTGTCTGTTGGAGCTGATCTGGATGTTGATTTGCTGGAAATTGCAGGGCCCACCTCGTGTCTATTCAACACAGCCTGTGATCTACTCTACGTGGGCCGACTGTCACTTCGGGGGCAGAATGTAGTCACAATGACTGGTGCAAATGCTGGGGAACTAGGCAGACAGTGTGTGGAGAAGGCCTTGAGAAACGGAGCGAAAGTCAGAGAGCTCCCTGTCCAGTTCTCTCGCAGTATTCTCTGCAGCTTGCCCCACAGCTCACCTCTGCTAGCTACCGCTGCCCAACTCCAGTTGAACCCCTGGGCCTTCTCCTTCCTTCAGAACGGCCCAGCTGCTCAGCAGTTTGCCGAGTCAAACAGAGAAACCGGTGCTCTTCTATTGTCAAAGATGGGTCTCACTTATGAGTCTGTGTGGGAGAAGCTAGACAGTGGAGTCCAGAGAAGAGTTGAAGCTCTGGCAGCAAAGTTTTCCCACTGGGAACCTAGCACTGCTCGTGATAGAATACTCTGGGCTGTGGTTAACTTTGGAGGAAGGTTTCCGTGGGTCGAAGACAGCCACACCTCTCTGAATCCACCTTTCAATGAGCTCTGGAGCATCCTAGACACGGAGAAAATGGATCCTCTTGAACTTCTCGAATTTCGCGTTGCGAATGTTTCGCGTTTTGCTGGGCTGGAGGAGGAGAGGGTGAGAAGGGTGCTGTCACATGCAGTGCTCTATGACCTGTATGCAGTGGTCCTACTAAAGTGCAGATTGTCGCCTGAGACTGTGGCAACAAATCCAGACCTTCTCACCTGGTTCAAAAACGACGTACAGGCTTTTGTCGACTCAATTCCAAACAGCTATTTAAGCGCTTCATAACCCATCCTATGATACTTTATAATGGGAGTTCGTGGGCACAGCATGTTTGTGGGGAAACATTAGTACACCGGTTAATAATTATTTTCATTGAACAGTGAGTACATCACAACCATGAATGAAATTATAGACACTGTTTGGGTTAAAATTATCATCATGGAGACATGATTATTATTGTGTTATATAGGAGCGTGAAAACACACTGTTACTGTAAAGATGATGAGAATTAACGATGATTGATTGCTGATTAGTGAATTGACTGTATATTATTATGACTGAGACTATCTGGTGATGAATCTTGGACTGTGTAGTTCAGAAGTGGTGGGGGTGAGTGGGGGGTAGTGCTGGGCACCCCACTGACGACTGGAGTTCTGCTGAGAGCACGTGGAGCTGATCTTCATGAGGACACTGTAGCGGGCCGTCCCCTCCAGCTGAGTCAGCACCCACAGTATCTGCCTGCAGTGAGTGGGGGAGGGACGGAGAGCTTGAGATTTCTATTCCAGTACCACCACATTTAAAAACCGAAAGAAATCTTGGTGGGTATTTCATTGGTTAGTGTGTGGTGGAAGAAAAACTATAATTCTGAAATGAAATCCTACAACTTGTGGTGTATCAATGTTAACTATTTACCTTGTCGGTCCAACAACAATCACTAATTATATCAAACCTTGGTTACTCTCCACCACATTATTACAGTAAGCAGATTCCTATGCATAGAAACCCTGTTAACCTGTGTCCGGGAGGGATGCAGTCTTCCGTATAGAGTTCTCCTCTGGAGCATGTGACATTGGCACTCTCTCTCCCGTCGCAGGCCACCGTGAAATGGAGGTGTTGGTCCAGGTTGACGGCCACCAGGTAGCGACACGAGTGCTTCATGTACACCTCATAGAGCAGCATGTTGGGGAACGACTGTAGGGTCAAGACAGCATAGAGCTTACTGCATGATAATCACGGCTTAATCGTGTAGAAAGTGGATTTACTAGTCAGATATAAAGCAAGTTTCATCTGTGCTTAATATAGTAGGAGTTTAGTGCACATGCAAGATCTAGGAAAACTGCAGTTTTACACATGTACATAAACCCACCTCTGTAATTCTGCCAGTCTTCTGAGCTAGCATCATGAGTGATTCTGGGAGGAACCCAGGTCCCGTGGTCACATTCTCATACACCAGTTCCCTGGCACTGAACACTGCCAGCACGTACGGAACAGCGCCTTCCTCTCTCCTAGCCCCGTCCTCCCTCCCCCTCTCTCCCTCATTGCTAGAAGCCTTCATCTTCCCCGAGGTGTGTTGGTAGTGGTTGAAGGCTAGAGGTAGAATGATATAGCGACCGGGGCCCAGGAATCCGTTGGTGGTGACTATGGACTGAATGTGGGAGCCACTCTCCAGGGAGCAGGCGATGGGGAGGAGGGAGGGGGAGGATGGGTCGGCTGTGTTGGAGTAGCGGAGGACCAGGAGAGCCATGTCCACCAGGTTGTGTCCTCTACCTCTCCCTCTGTGTGGGATTATATACCAGACTCTTTAACACACTAAACTTACCAAAGGCAACACATCAACGTGTGTCGGTGCCTGTATAGATTCACCTCGCATAAAACAGCCTATAATATTGAAGGAGATTTAGCTAACAACGTCTATGAGTGTATGCAATTATGCAAAATTTCAGAGCCTTGCTGTGTACAAATAGAAAAGATCGCTCAGAAGGTATTAGCTAAAATTCCACCTTCATTGGTATACAGCCACATTTCAGCAAGATAAATCTGCACACATCCATATTTTGAAGGTAGTGATGCATAACAGACAAACGGCTGATTATACGTATATACCTGCTGCTTGGCTGGTAGATACTGATGTCCACTTCAGTTGTAGTGTCCACCTGGAAGGCCAGCGTCTCGACCTGGGGGGCAGCAAATGGCAGGAGCATCCCCTCGGAACGAAGGGAGTGCCAGTTGGGCCTATACTTGCAGACGTCCACCTCACAGAAATACCTGCAACACAGGACATGCGTAAAGCTAGGCCGATTAAAAAAGGAAAGCTACTGAATGAAAACACGCAGGAAAAGCTAACACACACAGTCATTTGCAGGCCTTACTAAACACCTGCGAAGACTCTTGGGAGTTTATACCACACAAAACATGACTCACACTTTCATACTCTTTGCCCAGTACCAGTACACCCTCTTTTATACCAGCGCTTTGGATAATAAACACAGTCCATCTGATAGTGCTTATTTGGCAGGACTTAACTGTATAGGTGTGCCTTCTTTTATATGTGAATTGCGAGTTTGGTTTTATAAAGAGCTCACTGGAAGAAGTCAGAGGCAGCCATCCAGAAGACGCCGGCATCTCCGCCCACTGCCCTCAGCTCGTCTCTCATCCATGGCCGGGACTCCCAGCGAGAGTCCGTGTCAGACCAGCTCCCCTTCCACGAGTACTTGCCCCACGGATTACGCAGTCTGATCAACCTGCAGACAATGTGACACACTGTGTGTATGGAGAAGGACCTACATACATACATACTACCATCAGCCTGGGGATATATACACTGAAAAGTACACTGGTTCATAGATTAACAGACTTTATAACATATACGTACAACTATACCAATGGATCCTGGCCCTTTCATGAGACAACTTTTGTCTTCCAGGAGCACACACATAAGTACTATATATTCGTATGACACGAAAGGGTTTACAATTCTATTGCTATGGAACATGGTGTTGGGTGAGTGTTGTGTCTTACTGGTCGGAGCCGATCTGTCTGACATCCAGGATGGAGTAGGCGTGGTTTGACTCGAGGCCAAGCAATGCATACGTACTCTCCTCTCCCTCTCCCCCCTCCCCTCCACATGCGGCACTCATTGGGAACCTGGTGAATACACAGACACACAATGAGCTAAACAAACGATACATTGTTAGAGTACGTACATGAGCCTAGATAGAGTGTATGTGTGCTGGTGAGTCTACAGATAATGGAGCTAACCCTCTCTCTCTGAAGCTAAGAAGCCTTGCCCAGATCAGGTCGGTGTCAACTTCATCCCCTTTGCTGAAGGTCCTATACACCCGTCAACGAGAGAGAGTAAGAAGGGAGGGAGGGAGAGATAGAGAAGGCAAGATGGTAGGGCAGGAGGAAGGGGGACAAAAAGAGAGGAGGGAGAGAGAAAGTCACAAAGGGAACCACAGGGCCGTTGTTAGCTCACTCTTGACATGTATCTTCTCACAAGGCAGTCCAGTCAGTACGGACAGTCCCAGAAGAACTCTGCCAGCATTGAGGGCCTCGTAACTACCGTACAACTTTGCCAGTGCTTTCTCAATGAGCGGGACCCACAACTGCTTCCGGTGTGCCTGTGGTGAAAAAACACAACAAAAGCAGCAGAGATGCATATAATATTGTTACAACAACACTGGTCATGTGCACAGTCGAAAGGAATACTTTTTGCCATACATGTTTTTCAAGACTGTAAACATACCCACCGAAGGCAGCAAATACACTTGGGAAAACTAGAGCCAAATAAATCATTTTGCGGGGCATACTGTAATTTTTGTGTGTGTGAAGGCAGGTTCACAGTATTGACACAAGCCCTTAGAAAAGCTACACACTGTACCAATACACAGCTAACATGCAAGCTTACGTACGGCAGAATGGTTAGTAAGGTGCTAACATACCTTAGAGAAGACGAGTTCTCCTGTGTTGAGACAAGGGAAGCAGTCGTCCACAACCACCACCTCCCACCTGCCATCTCTGCACAGTCTCACCTGGTAGGCCCCCAACTCCGGACAATACTGGACACACAGACACAGTGGTGAAAGTAATACATACATTGGAGGATCAACACACATGGTAGGGTTCTGTGACTACTGCGTATGCCATCGGTGGATTACCATAATAGCTAACAACTTTCGCAGAGTAATTAGCTTCATTCCAAGGTCCTCCTAAAAGTTTCTTATTTGGGCAAAAAAATTTTCCCCTCTGGCTTGAAGATACGTACGTACGTATGACTCGACATGATAGGTTTACTTATGGCTAGTGATACGTAAGTAGTTTGACCAGTGGGAAAGTGTCACTATAGCTATGTGTGGACTCGGCTGAAAAACTCTATAATGTGGGTGTATTAAGGAGTATATAGACCTGTGATGGAAGGGGTACATAGCATGTGACACAGTCATAGAGTATGACCTGACACGATGTTGCCATGTGACTCCCACATTTTACTATAGCTATTCTTTAGCGTAGAATCACCTGTTTAGTAATGAGTATGTCTTCGATGAGTTGGGGCTGCTCAGCTATCACACCCAGTGCACTCAGGACCCTGCCACAGGAGAGGATGTATGTAATAAAGTGAGACAATCAATTCAGAAGAGTGAGGGGGTTGTCCCACTATTATGTAGAACTGTCAAACAGCTACTTTCTCTTCAACTCGACAGGCTAGACCTTAAAGGGAACAGAATGAACATGCTCGTCCACTATACTTAGTGACACAGCTGAAGACTATACATACGTACACAGATAATGCAAAAGCAAAAGTGCTATATAGCGTAGAAGGCTCTTCTTATAATGGCAGTGAGCCAGCACACGAGGTACATAAATGTCTGTATGTACCAGCAGTTCCCGAGGACTCCCTGTGCGATGTCCTCGGGCCGTGCCTCCCTCAGCACCGTCCACTCAATCCTCTGACTGTCAAAGTCGTCTCTTGTCTCGGACGGCCGCTCCCACTTGCCCACCTGCCATCTGGCCACCGGCTGGCTGGGGTCTGAATATAGCGACTTGTCGGCCGGTGGGAAATCGGGATCAGTAAAAGGTTCTCCACTCTAGTGGGACACAGAGAGAGAGTGTTAGGGGACATTGTGTACTTGAATTCAACATTCATTTTTTGTTCTTTATATAGTCTGTACAAACGTCTATTTTTCTAGTGGGACAGATAGAGTTGACGTACTCGAACACTAGTTCAGTTAACATTCATTTCGATGTTTCCTATTCCTAGCTATATACACAGGTCACACAGTACAAATGTACAAAATTAGTTAAACGCATGATTAATGTTTCATTAGAGGCTTCGAGGCTACTTGTTACTTGCAGTCAAACATTGTAGGACAGTATTCTAATCGCAGTCAAATCTTGCGAGAGATTAAAAAACTGAGCAACTTGCCATCATATGCTCATTGTATGAGCTGTAGTTTACTGTAGTGTGTACTGCTGTACAATTTAGTATTGTGGGAAGAACGAGTGTTTAAGTAAACTTTTCCGGGTGTAAAGTAGTTGATAAAACTACGCTGAGAGTGCTGACTAGTTGGCATACATAGGAGTGTAACTCCCAAGAAATGACAGAAATAATACATTATTGGTGAGCAAACATGAACAGGTGTATAGAGCTTCAAGTTTGTACTTCTCTATAATACTATGTGATGTTCACGCATGGATGCTTTCATGGCATATACTGCAGCTATAAGAGGAACATTACCTTTGCAGGTGTTTTAGTTTCGCAGGACTCATGCCTGTAAATACATGTAAACTATGCTGTGTATATGCAACAGCAAGCAAGAAGTGAAAGTAAAACCCAGCTCATGTGCAAACTGAAGAGCTGATGACTTGGCCTATAGAAACAACACCACCTACATACACTACCATCCATGCATACACGTATAATACTGCACTAGCTTCTTAGAGTTGAAGGTTTTCAATGTCTTGTGTTGTACGTAGCTGCCCTATGAGTACTTCTGCCTAGGCCCAGTATTGTGGCTCTTCAAAGGGTGTTGTTGCCTTGCCTTTCCAATGCAACCTAACTGGGGCTGAGCAATGCAGATATGCATCCATGTCCATTAATACATTAATACACGTTTTACACAGCCACTGCACTACATACCTAGACGTGCTAGCCTAAAACGTTAGCTAACGTGTATGTACAGGATTGCGCAAACCTATTGGACATAATGAGTTGAAAAATCGCCCTCCAGACAGAAAGAGACGCACTCACTGTTCTGGAATATCTCAAAATCTCCTGGTAGACGACGTTGGCACACAGCACGTCCTCCTCCCGTCTCTCCTCCACACACTTTGTCCTGTTCCAGTGGCCACCGGCAACGCTCGCCTCTAGCAACGCCCGAGACTCCTCTGTCTCCTTCTCTCCGTGGGACTTTGCTGCTGCATCTTGCTGATTGGCTCCCTGGGGTTCCAACAGCTCTGGAGGTGAGGGGGGTTTGTGGTAATCCATTGGTGTCCTGGGACGGACATACGGGTCGACAAAACTCTCTTCCATGTCGTGTGAAAAATCCCCTACTCTGAATGGGGTGTACTGTAGTTGAAGATGTGAAAGGTTTTCCGATTCCAAGATGGGGATGTCCCTGTAATTAGCGTCCATGCTGTGTCGAAGCGAGCGACGGGGGTACGCGCCGTAGGAGTTTGCATTTACATACGAGGGTTCTGATTGGGGGGAAACCCCACCGTTTGATGAGGTAATGTGCAGTGGAGAGAGCGAGGACGAGGCGTGTAAGTGATTGACACGTGTGAGCGGGTGACTCGGCGACGACCCATTATGAGAGGGGTTGGGTCCTTGCCGGGGGGCCTGACCCCACAAAGCCATCTGTGAAACATTCACATAGTCTTGATCGACGGAATCTTGAAACTGAGGCTGGGATGCACGCGGTGGCATAGGTTGATATTGAGCCTGAGATTGAGGGAAGTGGTTGGGAGATACGTAATTACCCTTCAGTCGAGGCTGTGGACTTGAATATGGACGATAGCTCTCTCTCACTGGTGGTGCAAGCGGTAGATAGAACTCGGGGATGACTCCTATACCGCATATGAAACACTGTCGTAGGCCACTGTTGATGACGTTGAAGGCTCCGCACACCTTACAGCGCCAGGTGGGGGTTCCCTGACTGCTGAGGAGGGCGTGGTGGCGAGGGTCCTGGGGCGACTGGGCTGCGATGACTGGCAGGGGAGTGGCGACATCGCCCAGAACAATCTCTGGGTCTAATTGAACTGGACCCCTGTCATTTTCTGCGTCAAACTGCCCGTGTTCTTCGTTTGGACTGAGAGAGTGAGGATTGACGGAACCTTGGTCCCCTCCGAGTGCCGGCATCTCGAAATTCTTTGGAAAATCGCATGCACTGCACTTTTTGAGTGATTCCTGATTGAGTAGAGTACACTGCTGGCATTTCCACTTTCGGTGGGTCATTTCCTCTTCCCCATCTCTCTCCTCTATACCCTCTCCTTCCTCCTTCACTTCCTTGTCTGTTTCAATACCAATGGCACCTTTAGAGTGACCACCATTTAGAGACGACCTCCGAAAAAGTGCCCTGATACTGCCAAACACCGACGTTGAAGTAGATGATGATTGTTCTTCAGATGAAACTCTTGGCTTTTCGTCGACTTTACCTTCACTGGCAACTTCGTGGTTGTAGTGGTCGTCCTGGACTCTGAGATACCAGCAAGACTGACACTGGCTGTTTATCCCTCTATTTATAAAGGTGCATGCAGGGCACTTCCACTGCGGCGGAGTTTTCGAAAAGAGCGCCTTGAAACGAACCGAAAACGAAGGGTTTACAATCGCCACTTGTTTCGCCTTCTTCTGTTCTTCTTTGAGGTCGATTTTCTTCCCGGGTCTCTTTGTCATGCACGCCGTGCAGTTGACGTATTCTTCGCTGTTTGTCATGGTACAAGCCGAGCATTTCCAACTGCCGTGGGGTGACTCTGCGTTGCTGTGTGGCGCTTCTGCCGGTGACGATCTTAAGTGAGAGCTATCAGGAAGTACTGAAGTTGAGAGCATTATGATTTTTTTAATTAGCTTGGAGTAAAATCTGCGTGATGATAAAGTGACTTTTAGTAGAAGGCAGTCTTTTAAGTTAAAAATCTGAGTTCAACCTGTATATATACAAAACGGACGAATATTTGTATTACTATATAAGGCTAAAACAGAAACTGTTCCAAGTCAGTTATAGACATGTTGACAAACTCCGCAACATGCACAAACGGAAGGAAAAGTATGCACACATGTACAAGACATGTTTTTTACAAACAACTAACGTGCAGAGGTACAGTCCCACGCTGTTCTGAATGCTCCTGAACAACAATGACCAATTGTGTGGTATAGTATAGTCATAGCTCTCACTACATTCAATAGCTACCATGGTACAGAAAGGTGAATTATTCTGGGTTTCTGCATTCATGCAACTCAAATGACTTACAAGAGATGTTGATACAACTGGATGCTCTCTTACACACACGACTTTGCAGAACGCCGCTACAGGAAATCCTTGACGCCTGATAGCTAACTATAAGCACACGCGACTCGGGGCTTAGTGCTGATGCACGATGAAGTCACAGGCCTCTTTATAGCTACATTGCCAGCTAGCTATGTCCATAAGTACGTTACATGGTCCGATCAACTTACCACATGACTGTGAAATCATGCCCACATACATGTGGGGAAGCTCACCTTGTGAACTCATCTCTGAGGAACGAAAGACGGAAGAGGTGCACGATCGACCGATCGGCTAGCTCACGAAGTCGACTCCTCCCCCTTACTACACTTTTATGCGCATGCGCACGATGATAGTTGTCGTCCTGGTTCCAGGTCAGAGAGATGGGATGGGCGCACCCCTTTTTTGCAGAAGCTAGAGCTGTACACAAGCTAGCTCGGTGCTGACTCAAGAATCTACTCTGCTGCTAGCTAGAGACGACACTCATGAGGAGCACATGGTCCGAACGAGAGAAGTTTTATGAGACTTTGATTCTAGACAGCTCCTGTATTTGTACCAGGTGAGTGTGCACAGCACATAGCTATAGCTAGCTAGCTAGCTAGACCTTAGTTAGACCAGTGAATAGGTTTTGCTGCACGACTGTATGTGCATTGTTCAATCAATGCAACTTTCATGACGTGTATGAGTTAGAGTACTGTAGATGTAAATGTGAGGTGTTCTCTTTCATGTGGAGAGTTTGCTAACAGCACTCTGAACTGAAGGGTGTACTGCTTTGCCTTTGCCTTTGCAACCCTATTGTTTATGTTTTAACTCCCATTCTTTTCACTTTTACCTCCCTCCCTCACCCTCCGCTCTCTCTCTCTCTTCCCACACCATATCAAGTAGTAATGGCTAGCAGTCAAGGAGCAAGTCAGCTGTTCCAGGTCCTGTATCTCGGCAGTACACGGGTGGACAGACACTGCTCGCACACCATCATGCCCTGGATCGCAGAGGAACTGAAACTACGAACAGAGCAGAAGATATTCACCTGGCTTAATCCTGGTCTGTGGCAGATTGAGGGATGGGAAGAGGGAGGGAGGGGAGGAGAAAGAGGAGAGAGAGAGAGGGGGATTCGAAAGAGTTTCACTGTTTGTATAATAGTAAGAGTATTAACAACTGCTTCCTTGAGAGTGGCTCTACAACATGGTTTTGGTTTAGTGCTGACGATTGGTGGTGGCTCCATTGTGCAGTCGGGTATATACAAGCTAATAGTGCACATGAGTGTGTGTTTCTGTTTACACGTGTGCACTCCTCGAGCAAGTATATCAGCAATACTATTACACACTGTCTAATTCAGTAGATCAGGTTCAGACTTTCACGAATGTATATAATTATATAGCTTTTCTAAAGGAATTAAGTGAGGTGTGATTTATGGTATATAGAATGATCTGGCTTTGCTGAGGAATAAGCAAGGTGTCGTGTATCTTTGGCTATTGCCGTGACATTAGTACCAGTCATTGAGTTAGCATTTGCTAGCAATGGAGCGTGAACATGTGTCATCCTACACCGCACTTGGCATTTGACCTCCACCAGTCTCCCATGTCTGCGTATAGTAGCCTACCAAAGTCTCCCACGTCGCATCGTTGTGCTCTCAGGTACATAGAGTATGCAGTCGTCGTTCATACTGTACACTGTGTATCATATACATAGCAATCGATTAGGGTCGCTTCTAAAGCTCTGGAACTGGTACCAAATCTGTGTATAATCACAACCCGTAACATTGCATCGTTACACGTAATGTCAACAACGAGGTCTCAAGGCAGCAGCAAAGCAATAACAACCAAGACAGTTCTTTTTGTCGCCCTGGGTTGGATTCGAACCAACAACAACTGTACTCCCGGCAAGCGCTCTTCTGGCTGAGCTAGTACCAGGCACCTCAGCAGCTAGGGGTTCAAATCTACAACACAATGCAATGCACGACAAAGGCACACTCTTACTTAGCATGTAGAAGAAAGAGCAAATCGATTATTGTATGCTGCTTTTTACCATGTACGCCCGTCTTTAAAAAAGTACGGCTGTGTGCCCATCGATGATTTGTACCGTTAATGAGTGAAAAGGTTCAACTGTATTAAGTGTTGTGTTTCGTGTTTGTTTGTGTCCTTTGCATACCAAGGGTATCTCCTTCGAGTCATGAATAATGTCAACTATTAAACTACCATATAAACAAGTTGTGGGAGGCTTGGCCCACTCTCTAAATGTTGTCTTACGAGTTCAGTGGCATTTCTAAAAAATTTACAGCCCACCATTTTTTGTTCCAGGTGAAAACGGGGTGTCATATGTGGCCAACACTGGAGTGGAGTTATTTCACCACGCTTACTCCACCATACTCCGCTGTGCCACCGGAGTAGACGGCATTACCTTTGCTTACATCATCAGAGAGGAGGATGGGAGTCGCTATACCTGCCATGTGTTCCAGTGTCTAACTCCTGAAGAGGTATAATATAGGCTCTAAACAAAACCAGACAAGTGAAGCCCACCTAAAGTGTAATCCCAAAGTCGTAGACCACACTGTTTATACAGTGCCTTGATTAATAGTGCACTTTCTTAATAATGCCATTGCTGCAAAAATGTTACGGCCGATATGCTAATACAGTGCAAAAAAGGTGCAAAAAACTAGCAGAGGATGGTTTCGATCCATCGACCTCTGGGTTATGGGCCCAGCACGCTCCCACTGCGCCACTCTGCTGACTTCTGAATGCACCTCCATTAGAATCCTTGTGTATCCGTACAACAAGATACACACGAGGTAATTCCTTTAACATACTGTAGCTAATGGCAGAGCAGGTCAGCAGAGTGGCGCAGTGGGAGCGTGCTGGGCCCATAACCCAGAGGTCGATGGATCGAAACCATCCTCTGCTAGCTTTTTTTGGAAAAATTGAAACCTTCCGAGCACAATCCAGGAAATTGTCGATATTATTATAAAACTTATTTCGCTCACTGATAATGCATTGCATTTGACATAATCGTTGCCGTCGACACTTAGTTAAACTGCCACCTTCCCAACGTGCCATAGGCTAACAGCTGATGAAGAGCTCAGGGCGAGTGCCCAAGGCGACAGTGAAGCCACGCCCACCACTGCCAATCTGCCTCCTCCGACAAGCTACGTGGTGTATTACGTGGGCAGCGTTGGAGTTCGTTCTTCGACCCACTCGAGCGACCTGCTGGACTCTCTGCTGGAGAAACACTGCACCAGCAGAGACGCAGGAAACTCAGCAGAAGAGAGATACTGCCTCAGCTAATGAGGACACAAACACAGCACAAAGAAAGCCGTAAGTTTTCTGTGAAATTGAAAGCTTTCTAGCAGTCACTCATGCGTCCATTTAGTAGTCTGAAATGAAGTACAAGCAGCTCTTTAATATTTCCCAGGAACACTGGTATACCATTGTATACGTAATGTTTATTCACACTTCACAGCAAAAATATCAGAATTTGACTTTATGTGATAGTGGTATACAATCCCACAGGTCAGCAACAATCTACACATGACAGTGGCAGAGAAGACGTCACCACATCAGTCTCTTCACGACTCAAGGGAGAAGAGGGAGAGGGGGGAATATTGGGTAATGGAGGAGAGGGGGAAATCTATGGGATAGGGGAAGGGGGGCGGGTGGAAGGGGAAGGGGGAGAAAGGAGAATGGGCATCAGAGATTCTCGGTCGCAAGGCTCTTCAGTGGCGGAGGGTGGGAGAGGAATGAGGAGGGAGGACAGCTGTGATGTGTCCATCAGGCTCACCAGGGCCACTCCAGAGAGGTTGTTTCGTGACGAGGGAGAGATTGAGGGGCAAGGGGAGGAGGAGAGAGCGGTTGAGAAGGAGGAGGTGAACGGTGAAGAGACAGAGGCCGAGAAGTCGCTGAGTCTTCTTCCCGATAGAGGAGCGGAGTTTGTCTACAATTCTGACAACGACGACGACTCTCACACGACAGGGAGCAGTACTTCCTGCAACACCCCAGATCCCACCGGCCGAGTGGGGGATCTTACTCCAACTAACGGAGTTACTCCGGCTTACTCTGACCCCAAACTCTTCGACAGGCACCAGAAGTTGTTGGTTCAAGAGCAGGATGAACGCCCAGCCTCCTGTCCCCCTCCCCCTGTAGACCATACAAAGAACATTGGCGAAAATCTGGAGAGGGAGAGAGAAGACAGTCCGGGTTTTCAGGCAACTAGTGAGCTCAATAATGAAGGGAGTGCCCCACCAAATGAGGTAGAGGGTGGAGCTGGGCCTGTTGAGGGTCTGCCACACACGCTGCAGAATGGAGCCGTGGAGGAAGTCGGGGATTCTAGTTTTGACACCTCCCCGAGTTGACTGGTCTCAGAGATACTCCCCAGTTCAAGGCTCTGGGTCCAGGGGAGGGAGGGGGAGGAGGAGGAGGGGAGGGAGGGGAAGAGGTGAGACTGGTGATAGCTCCCAACATGGTCCAGGTGGTCAGTGCCGATGGGTCAAAGGTCATTCTGAGGCGCACAATTCGCAGCATTGCCTGCTGCACACAGGTAAACACACTATGATGTTTGGAAATGCAGTGAATCATGCTTTCTCAAGCCAACGCATCATTTCCAGGATTGGCTCTGCATTAGAGATGAACGAATGGTGTAATTAGATTTCCTGTGACCCTGAAATTAGCCAATTTCCTGTCGTTGGAATTTCCTGCCTAACTTCCTGTCAGCTGTTCAGCTAGCTGCCAATAAAGCAGGCTGGGCTAAGCTGTTCCTGTCATTCTTTCGCGCGCCGTGTGTTGCTGGTAGCTACTATTAAGCTCACGCTGCTGCCTTTCTATTTACACCTTTGTTTGCCCATTGGAAGTGAGTTACACGTCTATTTTGTGAGATAAGGCAAAAGAAATATATACTGCCTAGTGCCTATGGACTGCAATATGCTACCAGTGAACACTATTCTCTGTACAACAGCAGCAGGTAGCATTTGCTTCACTTGCACCTGTCTCCTATTTTGCAGGGAGAAAAGAGAGCAGAGTTTGTTGGATTTGTATGTCGAGAAGGCCAGAGCAAACAGAGCCACATCTGTCACATATTCAGAGCTGCATCTCAAGCCATGGTTAGCTCTACCAGGCTCTACCATAGATATGTATATACTTAAGCTCTACCAACCTGTCTGTGTTCAATATGTTAGCCTGTACGGTGTATGTTAGTTCACACACCAGCCTAGAGATACATGCGCACTACATATGGGGCAGATGGAGTTCAGTTAGCTTTCCGTGTACCCATTAGTTACGGAAGACTTACTGTATGTCACTACTGCCCATCGCTCTACATACAGCGTTCTGCCATACTTTGTCCTTAGACAGGAGGCTAGCAATGCATCTGACAGTTTTGGTAATTGAAACACATGTCCATGTGGTCGGCATTACAAGAACACGTACATACGAAATTCGTGTAATTTTCGGTATAAATACGTACATGTGCAGATGTGTCTCCGTGTGGACGTTGTACGCATACATACAAATGGCAACAAAGACTGCACTACACGTGTACTGTACATATGTCCAGCATAATCTTCAATAGAACGTATATCATGGGAAGATGAGGGGGCTGTATAGAATATGAACAGGTCCCTAAAGACTATAGTGTTTCCATTCAAGAGATCTCCACTCACTTTCTCTTGTGTCTTGGGGTCAGTTTCCCACACCTCATACTAAACGTATAATACAACAGTGATACTTGTGTAGTGGTGAGCTCGAGGTGTTTTTGGAGAGTTTGAGGCAGCAACCAACCCTTTTCAGTTTCCCCAAAACAAAGAAACCAAAATAGCAGTCTTGTTGCCACGTACTACACATAAACATATACTAGAAAGGAAAAAGCTTTTAGTGGGAGATATTGTAAGGTAACTGTCCTGGGATTACCCCAAGTCATCACACAGTGTCTGAGAACAATACTATCTCTATATATGAGTTTCCTTCCTGACCACAGAACAAGGAACAATTCTGTCTCTGCAGTTTCCTTCCTGACTCAGAACAGGGGGGCCTAGAAACCCTCTATATGTATACCTGTTATGTAAACATTACGTCACCCCATCACCCGTGTATTTCAAATACACCTGAATGGCGGAGTGTATCACCCCTGTACTAGATAGGAATATCAAGGTGTTAGTGAAAGTCGATGCAAAAAGCAAACACTTCAATTCCACCCGGTTTTTTGAAACAGGTGAGCCTCAAAACCCTTTAGCTTCTTCAGACCCATTACATCACCCCTGTGTACAACGTGTATGTGTCAGTGAAAGGAGAAAGCAATAGCAAACAACTCAGCTGCACCTTGGCTTTTGAGCAGCCCTGGGCTGCGGTGGGACTCAAACCCATGAAGGTATTAGACCATGTGATGCCAAGAGAAAAAAGATGGGAGCTCTGGACAGCTGTTTCGGGCTTGTTGGCCCTCATCAGCAGAGCATACCCCAACTTTTCTCTCTGGCATCACAAGTTTATAAAGGCTACCAGGAGCGCAGCACTCCATGACACTCTGCTCTCTAGGCAGAGCACTCCTTTCCACTGACGTTGCCTAACCCAAAGGGTTGGGGCTTTCTTGCAGGAGCTGTATACAGTACATAGTTAATACACCGCTGAGCGTGTTGTTTGGTGTTTCTGGCACGACTTCCTCTGATGCTGCTGGGGAAGGTTTGCTACCGGGAGGAAAGTATACCTTCACACCAACTTCAAAGACTGATTCCGTTAGCTTGGAGGGCTCACAATCCCCATTAATGGTAACACGTGTGTGCTGTATTTACAGAGCTTCAATGACACATGCGTACATATACAGTCATGGCTGAGTCATTACATGAGCAATACAGTAGAGTTACATACATTTTGTATAGGGAGAGATCAGAGTAACATACATTTCGTATAGGGAGAGATCAGTCACATACATTTCGTATAGGGGAGAGATCAGAGTTACATACATTTTGTATAGGGAGAGATCAGACTTACATACATTTTGTATGGGGAGAGATCAGAGTAACATACATTTCGTATAGGGAGAGATCAGTCACATACATTTCGTATAGGGGAGAGATCAGAGTCACATACATTTTGTATAGGGAGAGATCAGACTTACATACATTTCGTATAGGGAGAGATCAGTCACATACATTTTGTATAGGGAGAGATCGGAGTTACATACATTTTGTATAGGGAGAGATCAGTCACATACATTTTGTATAGGGAGAGATCAGACTTACATACATTTCGTATAGGGAGAGATCAGTCACATACATTTTGTATAGGGAGAGATCGGAGTTACATACATTTTGTATAGGGAGAGATCAGTCACATACATTTTGTATAGGGAGAGATCAGACTTACATACATTTCGTATAGGGAGAGATCAGTCACATACATTTTGTATAGGGAGAGATCGGAGTTACATACATTTTGTATAGGGAGAGATCAGACTTACATACATTTTGTATAGGGAGAGATCAGACTTACATACATTTTGTATAGGGAGAGATCAGACTTACATACATTTTGTATAGGGAGAGATCAGACTTACATACATTTTGTATAGGGAGAGATCAGACTTACATACATTTCGTATAGGGAGAGATCAGTCACATACATTTTGTATAGGGAGAGATCGGAGTTACATACATTTTGTATAGGGAGAGATCAGACTTACATACATTTTGTATAGGGAGAGATCAGACTTACATACATTTTGTATAGGGAGAGATCAGACTTACATACATTTTGTATAGGGAGAGATCAGACTTACATACATTTTGTATAGGGAGAGATCAGAGTTACATACATTTCGTAGACTTACATACATTTTGTATAAGGAGAGATCGGGTAGAGTTCATACATTGTGTATGGGGGAGATGGGGTATTGTTTGTTCTATGTGTGTGTCCGAGTGGAGACTGTGTTTATGACTGGTTTGGTAGCTGAGGGCTGGGGTCCAATGACCCAGTCAGATAGTGTGGGTGTGTGGGGACAGCTGTGAGTAGCTAGGGAGCAACAGCGGTGTCCTATTACTCCCTGTCTACTCCTGCTGCATAACTACATGCATACACTGCGAGCCATATGTATTGTGATTGGTAGTGGTGGAGGAAGGCTGCACTGAACAGTATCATATGATGGATATCCGGACCGGAAAAGACAGTATCTATTATGTTAGGTGAGGGTATATATGTATAGTGGAGGAAGGCCGCATTGACTATCATATGGTGTGAGCAGAATAAAGTGCAGGGGTGATATAGAAGGACTGTTGTCGATATGTAGGATGGCAAACTCTATAAGTTTATACAGCAAGGGACACTGGAGGCAGATGGAATTAGTTTGTGATGGCTAGGTTTACAAATATGTTTACTAAAAGCGTGAGAAGATGAGGTGGGTTAGTTTTACTGCCACATTTACCTCACGGTGTACCAGCTTACTGACCCAGGGACTAACTTCCATTTTCTGGATAATCCTGACCTAGGATGTAACATTATAGTCCTCCGTTCTTCCTTCACATGTGTATATACACAGTAAGATCTGTTGTCCCCACAAGTCTCTCCTAAAAATAAGGCCATAAACTGTGAGTATAAGTACACTGCAACGTGCACAGACGTGTTCTGAGTCGCTCACATGTCATCTCACGAGTCCATAATACCTCAGACAAGTTGTCAAAACGAGATAGCCGTATTCACTGCCAGTATGTGGTACACGTGTCGAAGACATATCAAACAATCAGTCGCTCATGCCCCAACCACAATAGAACAAACACACTTATAACCACCTTCTTCTACGGTATAACTGCGACACATATTAACTCCATAAGTGTTGCAGTCTAACTGTATTGTCTTTACACACTGTACTTGTAGTATATACATGCTGTAGCCATACTGTTGCGGCTCTCCAAGTGGCATGAATAGGTAGAATGTGTATGTTGAAGGATTTGGTTCAATAGTTGTGTCAGGTGGAAGGCACAACATAGAGTTCTGCCTTCTACAGTACCAAAGACACTGTGCCATTGAGGTGCATGGTAACCAGGTAGGTAGTGAGTTGGTTGGTAGTGTCTAACTTCCTGAGGTTATGGTTTATCTATTGCCAAGGTACCATGGTTACCCTGTAGTCTTGTGAACATTGTAAGAGACAGGGTGACTGGAACAAACGTAAGTTTGGCTATCATGTATGTTGGGACATTTCAGCTGTTAACCCTCACTTCATATCATGCACTGTTTGCAGTCAGTGGTGGTGTCTGTTGGTACAGCTCTGTTCTTGGGGGAATACATCTTAAACACGATGTGTTTATGGCAAGAGAAATGTTATGGCATGCAAACTTCACTCAAAACAGGTCCGAGAGCAGGCTCATACACAGCCTCAGGTGCAGAATCAGTAGCAAGGGACACGACGCGGTCGATTCACATCATGTGATAGGTTGTGCTTAGTCTTGCCCCCGCACACCCTCTCTCTCCGGCCTGCACATGCACGAGTGCACGCTGTGAGATGGCAGTAGTTTGGCCCAGGTGTGTGCAAAGATGGTCTACTCCGTCTGTTTGATCTGGATTACTCCCAGAACTGCCCCTGGGCCTCAACCCTTCTATATTTAGCATCATTGCTATATAGTACCTAGCTAGGGGCTTACTCTCTGCTAGTGGTGGGAAATACTGCAGGTCAGCATATCCGGCAGGTGTGCCTAACTACGTGATGATTCAGTGTGACAAACAATGTGAATTGGCACTCAGACGTCCACACATGCACAAAGTGCAGCGTAACTCTCCCACCTTCCCTTTCCCCGAGTGTTTGTCTCTACTTGGAGTAGGCTATTGTCAATCTACGCATGTACGTAGCTGATTGTGCAATTGTTGCTTGCTTAACATGCAAATCGGCAAATCTGTCCCAACTGTATGCCAATCTAATGCCTTATGAATCGATCTTAACTGTAGTACAAAATGTGTCCAAACTGCTGATACTTGACTCTTGCAAACTGCTGATTAGCGCTCATTCTAAAGCTTCTGCCCATTAACTTGCACTGTTAATCCAATTACCGCCACGTACAGTGCAGTGCGTGTGTGTTTACGGTGGTCCCTGCTGACTAGTGTGGGAAATATGCGCGTTTGTACATCATCTCTCATTTACTTCTCTCGATGTTGTACCAGTAGATACACATGAGCTAAACATGAGCTGTGTTTTAGCGGTTAATAATAAACCATGTACACATAGCTTCCATCTTATTGGTATGCAGAGAGGATATTTCTGTTCTGTAAATTGCAGTGGCTTTACATATGCATAAACGTATGGCGATACACAGTACTACATTTCGGACCACTCGGTGTGCTTGATTTGCTCGCCACTTGACACTCCCTGTGACATTTAACATCAAATTGTACAATTCACGTATTTCATCTGATTGTGTATGATTTATGTACTGTATATGCTCCCTCTTCACTCCCCCCTCTCAGGCAACTGCAGTGATGGACTCATTCAAGTCGTCATTTGTCGAGGCCCTCAACTCCTCTCCGTCTGCCATGTGTGACTCGTGTCCCCTCAAACAGCTGCACCTCCTCTGTCAGAGTCTGGAAGGTCAGGAGACTAGGAGCAAAACTAGCTCCAGAGATCTATTACTAGGGGACAATCAGCCTCACTAGCAAAAAAATTTAGATGGTCTAACAGCACGCCTGCTATTTGAGGGGTCAAAATTTCACTTATTCTCTCCCCCCTTGCCTCTCCATATAACACATGCACGTGGTCCACTGCAGGCGTATCAACTCCAGTGGCGCAGTCCAGGATCCAAGAATGTCTGTCACAACTGAGTGAGGGTGACTACAACTGTATCATGTCGGAATACAAGGTCAACTAACGTCTAGTCTCACACACAAACTAGTATGAAACACATGTCCACACACACAGTATATGTACGTACCTACCACCATGTGGATATTGACCAATGTACTGACTGAACCTGTACACGACCCCATATATGTACGTACCACCATGTGGATATTGACCAATGTACTGACTGAACCTGTACACGACCCCATATATGTACAACATACCCTAAATGTATTCACGTAGCTGTTTTACGAACGTTAGTATGTGCTACATTGGTGTGGTGGTGGTTTAAAAGCTACTACAAAGGAATTTGAACTCGCATGTCACTAAGTACCAACCTAGCCACACACATGTGTACGTGAGTCAGTGTGACACGGACATATGGTATATACCAGATCCAGATGTTTACCAAGTAGCTATATCCTCACTTTACAAAAAATTCTGAAAGGCACGCATTGTGAAATTGCTGACACATATTGTTCACAAAGTACGTAGAAAGGTTTTAGGGTACATGTGTAGTTGATAAAAAAGTGTATTTGTCCCTCACAGTCATCAGAACACGCCGACCACGAGTTCACTCAGCTGGTGGTCCTGGTGTCTCTAATTAGAGAGCACCTCCAGAAGAAACAGGAGGAACACATCCACCCCATCACCACCACCTCGTCCTCCGATGGCAGTCTTCTTCAGACCAAGAACCACCAACCTGTCAAACCGGTACGACTCTCGAAACTCGAGCGGGCAAAACTGGCTCTCACGAGCTCGTTTGACAACCTCCGGAAGGGTAGTACGGGGAAAACGACAGAGAAACGAACGAGACAATTTGGGAAGTCGCTCACCACGGACGATGCCGCTGGTCCTGTTTCTTCTCTCCTGGCGACCCAAGACAGACGAGCGTCACTAGACCCAAAGCTACTGGCAGAGAAGAGAGGGAAAATGGGGCTGGAGAGGAGCTCTTCTGCGAAGGTTCCCGCGGCTTTAATGGAGGGAGGAGGGGATAGTAGCGGAGGAGAGGAGATGGGAGGGAGGGTGGGAGGGAGGACTCGAACTGGGAGCTGGCTACAGAGGTTCCGTGGCTCTAAACAGGCAGCGAGCTCGTCGCAGGACGAGGAATCGGATGGAGAGATGGCAACCCAGCAACAGATGACGACATGTGAGGGAGGAGAAGAGGAGAGGAGGGAGCCATCGCCCGTGGGTTCGTCCTCACCGAAGGAAATCAGACCGGCTCATAAACTGGAGAGATTTGAGGGCAAGGAAGACCTCCCCGCTTCTCCTCTTACTACCAGTCCTCTCGAGAAATCTTACCCCCCTGCCCCCCCTCCGACCCTCCA